GAACTCCTACACATGAAGAGTAAATAGAACAAAACAGACTATAGACTTGTAGTTAAGGGGGCTGGAGGGCATTGAAGAGGGTAAAAGACAAAGACTAGTTGTAAGATTCACCAAGTATCATTAACAACAGAAGGACTGTAGGCAAACACAGGGAATCATGGCGGTGAAAATGCAGGCTAGCGAAGGGACTTTTGATCATACAGAACACTTTCTTGATCCTTCATGCAAAATCACTTAGCAGCAAGTGTGTTTGTTAAAAAGCAAGATGTTTCCACAAAACAAACATAAGTATTGCTTGAAAGTTATGAAAAGCAACATGTAAATATGTAACAATCTGATACAGAGATTAGAGAAGGTACTCAGAAGCAAAACCGAACTCCTACACATGAAGAGTAAATAGAACAGAACAGACTATAGACTTGTAGTTAAGGGACTGAAGGGCATTGAAGAGGGTAAAAGACAAAGACTAGTTGTAAGATTCACCAAGTATCATTAACAACAGAAGGACTGTAGACAAACACAGGAAATCATGGTGGTGAATGTGCAGGCTAGCGTAGGGACTTTTGATCATACAGAACACAGATATACCTCTGGCTGGTGGAGCTTCCTCTTTTCTAAGAACAGGTATCGGTACTTTTTCAACAGGAACAGCTTTTAAAACAACAGTTTAAACATTTAGTATCATATATTTTAAAATGTTTAAGACTAAGAAGAAGACTCTTAACATGACTGCACGGACAAATAGGTGAGTGCACAACAAAAGGACTAAAAAAGCATGAGGTAAAGTTATGTATACAAAGCAATAATGTATATAGACTTCAAGCACGTCTATATACCTTTTGGTGTTGCAACAGCTTTAGGAACTGCTGTTGGTACTTTCTCTTCAGGAAGGGCTCTTTTTGGAACCTTTGGAACTTTAAAGACATTGACACACTAAACACAAGGTTCTTTGGAGCCTATGTTATATTTTGAAGCAGCACACTTAGGAAACAAAGACGATATATTCTAAAGTAATGCCAAAAGCAAATTTCACAATACCTTCAGAAATCTCTTCTGTGCGGGAGATGGACACCGCTCGTCTCTCCTCTACAACCATCTTCTCATGGACTGTAGGTGCTAAAGAATTTATAAAATTGTTTTATTAAGAAAAATATTCTTCATGCGATTAAAAGCACATACATATGACATTATCAATTTATTATCTAGCTACTAGCTAAAGCTAAAGCTATTATCTAGCTTTAGGTTATGAAAAGGGATAAGAAGAGTTATTGAAGATAAAATATTCCAGTACTATTAAGAAAGGATGACTGTAGTTCTATAGCAGATCATTATTCTTGTTACTTAAACGTTGCTGAAGCTCAAGCTATATACACTTAAATTATAGGTCCACAATCCAAAGCACTAAATATTTCTAATAGACATAAACATACACTCACAAACATTCTAAAATGGAAACGCGTACAGGTAGTCATATCCATATAAAACTGTTCTTCCTCAAGCAGTTAGTAAAATTGTAACACATGGACCAAACTCCAGACACAAAAGACAATTTTAAAACAACTCATATTCAAATAATATTATATTTCATATTTTAATGTTAGTATATTTTTAAATACATGTAACAGACATCAGGTATTACAAGTGTAGCAGCAATAACTTTTCCTATTGATGCAGCTGAAGAGTACATACCTGTGACTACTGCAGCCTCCTCAACTTGGCGTTCATAATAGAACTCCCCTGTTGCCCTTTTGTCTGGCACTGAATATGACCAGATGGACAAGTATTAATTTCGGACTTAATTTGCCATTTCAACATATACATATACAAATGACATATAATGAATAGCATTAGCATACAAGAAGACAGAAGATGGTAATTTTTTTTTTTAAAATGATGAACTCAAATCTGGAATAAGTTTGTCATGACGTAAAGGTTTTAGAAAAGCATGAAAACTCCTCTCCAAACATGAATATAAATAAAGCTTTGTAGTGCTGGTGATTAAAAATGTTAGACGATAGGTTAATTTCGGCAGAAAATGTAAAAAACCCCATAGCCAGTTAGAGCATGAGGTTTTATGGGTATTGCCACATCATATCATGATGTTATTTATTGCTGATGATTGCAATACCTGGAATCACTTTCATACCTTTCACAGATAACTGCTGTTTTCTTTGAAAAGCTAGGGAAACCTCTTCTTCTGCCTTTGCCCACTGCCAAGCTTGTACTTTAAAATAGTTTAGCAATTATTTGTGCCGTTTTTGTTTTTTTACGTTTTAAAGTGCAACACAATGAATATATAAATTTAGAAAAGCAAGTAGGGTCTGCTTAGTAGGGATTTGCTCTGTTACGATTAAAGTATGTAGAGCTATATTATGTTATGTACTTACCCCTTCTTTCTTCAATTTCCTCATGCACTGGCACAGGCACTATAAAGAAGATACAATTACAGTAAGTAACAGTGAGACAGTATAATCATATATATGTTTCAACAGTGGAAAGAATAATGTAAAAATAATGCAAGTGTATAAAAGCAGCTGTCACATTTGTTCTTCACTTTCTATATTTGGAACACAGCTACCATATCCTACTTTCCACTCCTTCTTTACTGACTTTAGCACATGTGTTTAGGGATTAGTTACTCCTTATACATTTGGACACATTAGTAGTATGGTTGATACATGTTCTAATTAAATATGGACCTAGAAATTACTGATGTAAAAAAATCAACAATTAAAGCAAAACATAATAGTAATCCCTTTTTACAGTTTTAGTGCCTGGAATATAGTAACATAGTATGATTATCATAACTACAATTAGGATTAGTTATTCAAACCCCTACTTCTATTGGTGACACTATTTTATTCTAATATTTAGGAGCAAAGAGGGAACCTTGTCTCCTTCTGCCTGCTTCCTCTTCTCTGGTGAGAACACGTCTTTCAAACTGCTCCTCAATAGGTTTCCTTGGTACTGTGAAACCATTAAAAATCATTTTACTTTGTTTTTGTATCATATGCCTTTGAGTGAGCTAAAGCCATTCCTTTTACTTGCAAGCATATGCAGTTGATTTTTTTTGTTAGTCTTGTAAAGCTTCTAAATATGATTCGGTTTTACAAAATTACAAAATAAAATATAAATACCTGCAGGCTTCTTATATTCAGCTTCAGAGATCCTTCTTTCTGGAACTTCTTCTTCAATTACTTAGGGAAAAAATTAAATGTCAACCAGGTCCAGGTTTAAAAAAAAATTCAAAAGCAGCTTTTAAAAGACTTCCAAAATCAATTAATTTTGTTTGTAATGGATGGCAAGAGGTAAAATTAAAATTTAAGAGCTTCTGGGTTGTGATCTTCTCCCCATATTGCTGCTGTACCCTCCTGTGAAAATTATCTGTCGTCCCCGTTGACTTCAATGGTGAGTCATCTGATACCCAGATAGGCGGAGAACAGATTGAGCAGCAAGGAAAGGAGAGGAGGTACTGGATTTAAATAGCAGTGCTACCAAGGTAAATATAGTTTTACCCACAGCTGGTCCACATATGTCACCTAATTTGGAAGCGTTTCATGACTGGATATGTAACAAGAAAACAAGAATACAGCCTCACACAAGCTACATATTCACATTACACTGTTTCACATTACTGCTATAAGATAGTGTCACATTCTTTAAGTTGTCTTACAGGACAGAAGTAAAACATACACAAAATCATTATTTTTAAGTAAAAAATAATGGGACATTAGGATTGTACTACTGAAAGAAAAATAAAGATATGAAACACAAAAGTAAACCAGACACAAACGCAATGCCAAACATATATCAAGGAGTCAAGATATATAGTACCTTCTCTGTAGTACTGCTCTTCTCCATATACTTGTTCCTCATAATACTTTTGCTTTCTTTCATAGACTTGTTCTTCATAATACTCCTTTTCTTCTTCATAGACATGTGTCTCATAAACCTCTTCCTCCTTGCCATACTCCTCATAAGCTTCCTCCTCTTCAGCATATTCTTCTACTTCATAAGATGGTTCTGGTTCACGAACCTTCTGGTAAATTTCTTCCCTCTTTTTGGCTATGGTAATTACTTTAACCTCATCCTCTTTTCTGGGTTTTGTAGGAACTTTAAAAAACATTTATTTATGTTAAAATAAATGCACTTTAAGAATATTTTTAATTTATGAGGCAAAGCGTAAGAGCTATGAATAGGATCCATGTGTGGTGAGGACTTATTCTCATGATTAAGAAGCTATTACGTTTTAAGAAACCACCCCAAAATGGGATAAGACAACAAAGAAAGAAATATTAATTTCTGAACTCAACAAATACAACATATGACATCAGTAAACACAGCTATAGATAAACGGCTGTCAGGAAAGAAGGAAGGAAGGAAAGAAGGAAGGAAAAGGAAGACAAATAGGAAGGAAGGGAAAGATAAGGAATGAAGGAAAGATAAGGAAGGAAGGAAAGAAGGAAGGAAAAGGAAGGCAAATAGGAAGGAAGGAAGGAAGGAAGGAAGGAAGGGAGGGAAGAAGGAAAGAAGTGGATTTTAGTGACAAGATAACATGACAATTTTCTTTACGTCAGATACATAATAAAGTTAGAAGAAAGACAGAACAAAAACATGACATTAGAATTCTATTTTAAATGTAACCATTAAAGAACATGCACATAAAAAGATAAAAGATTCATTCCTGCACATGTAATTGCCATCAAATATGATGAAGATAGAAGGCAGATTGAGCACACATCATGAACACAAATAAATACAAAAAACAGCAATGAGAACAACAAAAAGCAAACAAAAAACAGACTGTGGACTGTACATAAAATACTAGACAGGCAAGGTCAATACTAATTAATGTGTGGAATATGATACTTTTCAAAGCAAAAAGTACCACCCTGTTTTCTTCTTAGCATGAATCATAAATCAAGCAAAGCCTTGAATGGTGGGCAAAAATGTGTTTGTATTCACGTGCCTAAACATTTACCTTTAGCAGGAGGTGCAGGAACAGTAGGAACTGGTGGAGCTGGGACTTTTTGTTTCTTGCCCACTAGAGCAACTTTAAGAAGAAAAGTAAGCGATGTAGCGTATAAATAAATTAAAGTATTTTGCTAGTCTGCATCTTAATATGTGTTTATTCTAAGGTGCTATGTGATTTAACAATGAACTTTAGTGCACAAAAAACGCTAAGATGTAAGACATATGACACAATAAGATTCATATTTTGCTCAGAATTGTGACACTAACATATAATAAAGAACATTGAACAAAGAATAAATACGCCTTTGGAACACAGATGTGAAGAGTAATAGATGCAAAGTATAATAGCTCGACATGTCCTATATTAATTTGTCGTATATAAGAGCTTCCTGTAATTTCAAGATGTTGCTTGCATGTCACTTGCATTTGTCACTATTGTTAAACAATGAGACATATTAAATACACACACTCAAATAGTTCAGCTACTCACTTTTAGCTGGTGGAACCCCCTCTCCAACATCTGTTACGTCTCTGGGAACTTTCACACCTGGCTTGGGCACTGAAGAAATTTTTTGAATGTAAATGAGTTGTAAAACATTATCTCGCAAAGGACAATTAAAAAAGACAACAGTTAGGCATTCAGTAATGCAGTATGTAGTCATGGCCTTGATAACATGAGTGCTTTGCTCTGCTGATGAAATAAGAAGCATGTTTAGAGGAGAAATAACTATAATGGTTAATAAGGTATCATAACCATGATTAGTAAGAACTAGCAATGAAGGCATGAAAGTTAAAGCAACTGATTCTCTAGATCAAAGGAAAGTCCGGGAGGCTTCTCCAAAGCACATATTATTATTATTATACAGGATATATATAGCGCCAACAGTTTGTGCAGCGCTTTACAATATAAGGGAGACAGTACAATTACAATACATTTCAGTACAGAAGGAATAGGAGGGCCCTGCTCGTGGAGCTTACAATCTAAAGGAAGGGGGAGGTTTTACAAAAGGTGATAGCTGCGGGGGATGATCTGGTGGAGGTGATTCAAGTACAGTTCTTAGGTGGAGGTGGGGTAGGCTTCCCTGAAGAAGTGAGTTTTCAAAGATCGCCTAAAGGCAGACAGGGTGGGGGCTGACCGGACATGCTGTGGTAGGGAGTTCCAGAGGATGGGAGAGGTTCTGGAGAAGTCCTGGAGGCGAGCATGGGAGGAGGTGATGAGGGAGCTAGAGAGGAGGATATCATGGGAGGAGCGGAGTGGGCGATTTGGGAGGTATCTGTGGATGAGGTTGGTGATGTAGCTAGGGGCAGTGTTGTGGATGGCTTTGTAAGCTGTGGTTAGTATTTTGAATTTTATACATTGGGTTAGTGGAAGCCAGTGGAGGGATTGGCAGAGAGGGGCAACAGTCGCTGATCAGTTGGTAAGGTGTATGAGTCTAGCAGCAGCATTCAAAATAGACTGAAGGGGGGATAGCCTGTGTAACGGTAGACCAGTGAGGAGGGAGTTGCAGTAATTGAGGCGGGATATAACCAAGGCATGGATAAGTTGTTTTGTTGTGTCATTGGTCAGGAGGGGCGGATTTTGGAAATGTTCCGGAGGTTGAGGTGGCAGGATTTAGCCAGTGAGTGGATGTGGAGCCCGAAGGAGAGGTCAGAGTCTAGGATTATGCCTAGCACCCTAGCATGAGGGGAAGGACCAATGGTAGTGCTGTTGATCTTAATGGTAAAGTCATGAGTGGGGGATCGGGGAGGAGGAAATATTACAAGCTCAGTTTTTGAAAGATTGATTTTAAGGTAGTGATGTGACATCCACGCTGATATGTTGCTTAATAGATTTGTGATATGTGAGGAGATTGAGGGGGTGAGCTGGGGAGTGGAGAGATAGATCTGGGTGTCATCAGCATAGAGCTGGTATTGGAAGCCATGGGAGGTTATCGGTTGGCCCAGGGAGGAGGTATAGAGAGAGAAAAGGAGGGGCCCAAGAACAGAACCTTGGGGTACCCCAACAGAAAGAGGAAGCGGAGGAGGAGTTGTATGTGACACTGAAAGTGCGCTGAGAAAGGTAAGAGGAGAACCAGGAGAGAGCAGTGTCACGGAGGCCGATGGAGTACAGTTTACTGAGGAGGAGTGGGTGGTCGACTGTGTCAAAGGCAGCGGAAAGGTCAAGGAGTATGAGTATGGAGTAATGGCCATTGGTTTTAGCAGTTAGTAGGTCATTAGTGAGTTTTAGTAGGGCAGTTTCTGTGGAATGTTGTGGGCGGAAGCTAGACTGTCGGGGATCAAGAAGGTTGTTGTCGGTGAGGTAGCAGTTCATAAGGTTGTGAACAAGGCGCTCGAGAAGCTTGGAGGCAAACGGGAGCAGGGAGATGGGTCTTAAGTTATTCAAACAGGTGGGGTCCAGCGAGGGGGTTTTTTGAGGATGGGGGTAACCAGTGCATGTTTGAGTGGGGAGGGAAAGGTGCCCATGGAGAGTGAGAGGTTGAAGATGTGGGTTAGAGAGTTTAGGATAGAGCAGGAAGGAGGCTGCAACAGTCATGAGGGGACAGGATCCAGGGGACAGGTGGTGAAGTTGGCCTTGGAAATGCGTTCGGTAACTTCCTTGGTGGTAACAGGGTCGACGGTCTATTCTATAGAAAAGCAACTTAAAATAGCATATTTTTTTGCCAGTGGGGGAAAAAAAGGTTCATGCGTATCGCTTGAGGTTAGCGTGTTACACATGAACCTTTTTTAACCCCACTCTCATACAGTATGGTGTTTTTTAAGCTGATTTTCTATACAATATAGTGAATATGTGCTTTAGAGCAGCCTCCTGGACTTTCCTGTGATCTACAACACAGGTGTGTGAACTGGGCCAGCACACACGCTGAAGGATTGTGGAGTGTGGGAGTGATGAGCTTACCTGGAGCAGAGCTACCTTCTCTTTCTATATCAACTGAATCTCTAGTAAATACCCATAACCAAGCTCTTAGAGACTTATCCTCTTATAGTGAAGAAGTAGCAGCTATCATGTTTGGGAATTAGAATTGCTGTGATGTAACAGCAGTAGTGTAAGAAGTTCCATTTTCAGAATTTTGTTTGTCCATATATTCCTTGTAACAAGGATTCTGTGCTGAAAACATTGTAAATAATGCTGTACAAATTCAAAAGGTATCTATTTCTTCCCAGAATTCTATTACTGTACTGTATTTGAAACCTCTGCTGCTAAAATTATGTTTATTCAATTATAATGTTTTGTATTCAATATTATGATATTAGGCTTGGTAGCAAAGCTTAAATGCCTGTACATTTAAATGAGGAAGTTAATAAAGCTGACTATATTTAATTACAACTCCCTATTTTCAGTACCTCTTTTTTCCTTCTTCACTTCCGGTATACGAGGGTGAATTATGAATTCTTAGAATAAACAAATAAACACCAGTTTATCACTTGAAATGTATTCTTTTTACATTTTGTAAAATTTGTGAAATCAAATTGGTGGTAACAATGTCTAGACTGTAAAATAATATAGGCACAAAGGACAACAGATTTATATTTAGTTATATGTTGACTACATTCCTAAAAATGGATAACTGCACAAATATATTCAGAAGGTGACCACATCTTAGTACCAAGGGTAAATAATGTTTAATTAATCTGGCTTACCTTCTGTTATGAATTCTTCTTCAACTGCAGCAGGTATATATGGTATCCTGGTATCTGGAACATCTGAAAATGAGTTTTAAATAATTTTAAATAATAATGATTCAAATCTTCTTCCATCCACCTTATACATGCTTAAACAGTTTGCAACTGTTTTACAACACAATGACCTGTCCTAAAAGAGCATTAAATTATATTTCCCTTTCACAGCTATGTGAGCTGCGCATGTTCCACTAGCGAGAAGCTTGCAGTGTAATCAGTTTCACTACAGGAGAAGAGCTTTTGTAGATGTAAGGTTGGAGTTCATCTGAATAAATCTAAATTTATTATCAAGTTACCAAAGCATACTGACACTAAATTTGGTCTGGGCTTCTACATATCAATGTCCTCTAGTCAAGAGGGATTCATTCTGTGTTAAAAACAGTGTTGAAGCTGCTTGAATGCTGAGAAATGTCTTGATTGCCTTGGAAAACCATTATGTAGGTGTAGCCCTTCCTAGACACCCACTGATCTGCTGCTTCTTTGAACTGAAAAAGAATCTACTAGCTTGGAACATTCCAGCATAGAAGACAGCTAATCAGTGATATCCAATTAGAATTTTCTGGCTTACTAATAAAAATGGAAAACTCTTTTCCTGCTATGTAAATTAGATTCAAGATATTGATAACAATTATTAAAACATACTTAAAAAAATAATCTTTCATCCTACCTGGTGGTCGGAGCTCCAACTTCATCTCTGAAAAAAGCACAGCATAATTAAGGTAAGCATAGGTTCCCATAATAAAAATATTATATAAAAAAAAATACATATATCGTAGACATAACATAAAGAAAATGATTCATATCCAGTTAATTAGTGTTTAATAGGTGCCTGGACTTTGCATAGATTAATAAAAAGAACATAATAATGTGGCAGAGTGGCATCCATATGCTTTGCTTTCGAACATTTATGTTTTGATTGACTTCCAGATTTTTTATTTCAACCAAGGAGCAAATTATGTAACTTTCATAGCATTTTATATTTGCGAAGAGAGCGGTATGATATTTTGGTTAACATCTTCTAAGCAAAATATAAAAAATTACCTTTATGATTTCAGAAAACAAAAATATTTGTCACTTTTATTACAGTGGTGTTATTAAATTCTGATGATGATGATTCTTTTTTTTTTTTTTTAGAAAACAAACACATACCTTTGGTAGTCAGATACAGTTCAGCTGTGCTTGTTGCTTCACCTCTTGGCTCAAGGCTGGCAATCACTGAATAGACTCCTGGAGAATTTTAATATAAATTATAAATTCATAACATATTGTTTATCTCTTCTTCAGCAATTGGCAAACATACAAACACTTTGAATAGTTATTAGATATGATGCTAAAAGTACTAAAAAAGTGCACTACTGGTAACGCATATCTATGCTTGAATCAAGAAGTAGAATCATGTACTTAAAGTGGTTGTAAGTCTCGGACATGAAATCTGAACAAAGCAAATATTTCTATAGTGTTTACCTGCCGCTCTCCAAAGCACTAAGTGTCATTTGTGTCTGCTGCCTTGTTCCTCTGCTATCTGCTTGAGTCACTTCTTACAATTTTTCCCAACATCCAGAGAAAAAAGATGTCAGGGGAGGGCACAGCCTGTGATTGAAAGCCAAAGCTCTGTTCTGTGTGCTGTGTGAACGGGGTGTGTCCCTTCCTTCCAATCAGCTCTCAGAGCTCTTGTACTGTGTGTAACTGCGGCTCTCTGCCCCCTGCTTTGTGAGTGTGTGAAATATCCTTTTCACCTCTGAGTTTTACAAGGATGTACAGGACAGAATACTGTAGATAAACAGGTACATCTTATAAAGGAGGATGAGTTCCATCTCTGTGTATCACCTGAGGCCAGTCACTTCATTGGGTATATATAAGAGTTTATAACCACTTAAAGGAGATCCTATTGTTTTTTAATCCTGGCGTAGTACTAGGTTTCTGAATAGAGTACATGTTTATTTAACTACAAGTGAAAAGTGACTCTATTAGTGAATCAGCCTGTCATGTTTACATTTTAAAAAGAGGTCTGACATATTTGAAATTAACTGAATCACTGTAGAACTTAGCACAGTTAAAGTGTTACTAAACCCGTGACCTTGCATTCACTATATCTCATCTCCCTCGGTACACAGAACATGGAAATGCAATTATTTTAGTAAATATAAACGAAATACCTTTCTCAGTATACAGCAGTCTTGTGACTTCTATCAGTGTCCAGCCAAGCACTGGTTAAAGCTTGTAGGAGGATTTTCCATTCTCCTCCCACTGTCCTATGCTGCATGACCCCTGGCCCTCTCTGTCTAGACAGTGCCGATTGGCCCTGTGCTGACCACATGCACCCTCTCAAAAAAAGAAAACTCTCTAGTAGTACACACCAAACTGAGCATGTGCAGGGTGTCTCCTAGAGCTCTGTACTATCAGCAAATGGACTGGGGACTGTGGAAGAAGGGGAGGATCAGAGAAGAGAGTATCGAACAGCCATTTACACAGTGTGGAGGATTGAGTATAACAAGCATTGTTTACTGCATATACAGACTAATTTTACTGTTGTGGGTTTAGTAACACTTTATTTTAATGCATGAGTAGATGATGTTTACTTCTGCAATTGTCTACTTAGCTTGGTGAATAAAGCTAGCCAAATATGCAGAGATTCTAAAAAAAATAGATTCTTCAATCCACTCTGTTTAGTCTCCCCTGCCAGCTGAATAATTTGGACAGCCTCAGCACCCACTGCTGTCTGAACAACCAAACAGAGACTGCATCTGGTAGACTATAGTCAGTGTTTGGCTGACAATTTTCCACCTGGCTCTTCATTTGTCGAACGAAGTGGTTCCGACAGGTCCACCATGGATCAAAGTTTGGCTGATTCAGCAGGAAACTGGATGAAAATCAAGCCAGCTTAAGTTTCATGTTATGGTTATTGTGCAAATTGATTTTCCAACTCATAAAATGATTTCCAAAAAGATGAGGTATATTTATAAAAAAAATTCAGTGGATGAATGTCACAAGCATTCACCCAGCCATCATGAATTTGACCGTATTTCGCTTAATATGCTGATTTCTTATTATTGTCAGCTCTATCTAGTGGGTAGAATGCAGTATTTTTCCTGAAATTCCACAATCAGGAAAATATTGTGCTCTGGCCACTAGATGGAGCTGTCGATCATAGGAAATCACTGCATTAAGCAAAATACAGTCAGAATTTGTGAAGGCTGGGCAAATCCTTGTAACATTCGTCCAGCAAGTTTTTGTTTATAATTAGACCCCATAAAGTTATACCCAGTTCAGAAAGGTCACATAAACTTTTACAAAAACAACCCTTCCAGTTTGTTCAGTAGTTACAGAATTGCCTACCTTCATCCTCTGCTGTTACATTATGGATGGTCATGTAATGCCAACGGCCCTCACTTCTGAAACTGTACTTTTGACTCTCTTGTAACTCCATGGTTCCTTTGTACCACGTAACCACAGCATCATCGAAAGATACTTCGCACTCAAAGGTGGCAGATTCATGCTCACTAACAACAATGTTCTGAATTGTTTTGGTAAACTGAATAGCTTCAGCTATATAGGTAAATGAAAACAGCAATAGATTACCTTAAATGAATATGTTATCATCTATTCCAGCACCCTATCATATGCTAACACTGCTTACAGCACTTAGTGATATAAACAGAAGTAGGTCAGGTCAGGTTTTATTTCAACTCCTCCTATTTCCAGCATTCTGGGGAGGCCTCTCAAAATTCCTGTTGATAGACCAGGCCACAAAGATACCATATGAATATATTGGTTCACAAGTGCCTCATGGGATGGTCTGGATCAACTATGCCTGAAGTGGATGGCTAAGCATTTTTTTTCATTTCTCACTCAATATAAGTGTTTAGCTAGTGTCTCTTTTGATATGAAACCACAGTTTGTACGTGGTGCGTGGCTTGACTTATGTAGTGATCCCTGATGAGAGGGTTACAGTTGCTTGTTGGAAAGGCTTTTACCTATAACCTTGTGTTCATCTATACACATGGTGGACTAAAGTCACATTATGTTCAAGCATATTCAAGCCTATGGAAATGTAAAAACCTTCCTGTGGAGTCTACCTGCACAGTTTCACCAACATCAAAACACAATGTGTGAGGCGCGAGCCCATTGAGGCTGAAATTTGGGACTTGTTCTAACACTTCTCAGATTCCAGTACATTTCTATTAAGGAGCAAAGATATGACAAGTGGTCTGGTTGAAGCTTGATTCCAATTTGGGATTTTATTTGCTATGTTTGGATATTCACAAGATCTGGCCCATCTTCCATCTGGAACTTCATAGGTAGTGATGGGTTGAACACCCCTCTGTTTGGTTCGTGATCGAACATTTGAATCTAATAAAAGTTTGAGCGCAAACTTCAAACACAGGGGACAATTTACTAAGCGGTATCTTACCGCATATGAGTATGCGGTAAGATACCACACAGCTACTAAAACATTCTTTAATGTTTCAACTGTCAGCAGGGAATTCAAAAAGAACTGCTGGCATTTCCCAGCAATTAAAAAATAAATATACAATTAAAAAAATAAATACAATCAAAAAATAAAAATAAAAATGCATGCCCCCCCCCCCCCCCCATCCATACCAAGCCCAAAGCACCTTGTTGATGGGGACTGGGGCCCTGCCCCACAACCATGGCCTGTGGTTGTGGGGGTCTGTGGGCAGGGGCCTTATTGGAATCTGGAAGCCCCTTTTAACAAGTGGGTCCCCAGATCCCATTCCCCCCCATGTGAATGAGTATGGGGTACATGGTACTGCTACTCATTCACAAAAAAAAGTGTAGTGTAAAACGCTGGCTCCAGCCGCCTAACAACTACGCCGGGATGACTTTTCTGCAATACTCTGATGATGTTACAAGGAAGGGGGGTCACCCCTGCCCCCTTGTAGTCATCATGTGCTGTGATTGGCCAAAGCATTGCTCCTGACCTGTGATCAGATGCATTGCTTTGGGCAATCACAATACACTGTCAGGGCGCCCTTACCGTTCATGTGTTTGACTCGAACATCTAGCCCAACACTATTCATAGGCTACATTGTTGGACACTTTATAAGGACACTGACTAGGTCCCTTTAAAAAGATATATTTTTCTTAGGGGTGCTTTTTCTGCAGCTGCTGTGGGTTCTTTTTCAATATAATTGGCCAATTAATTTATTTTAATTAAGTATCGGTGGTAGTGTGTATTGTTTACATAGAGTATATGGTATTTATGGACGTGATGCTGAGTTGCCTCCCAGGTCCCATGAGTTATAGTTCATGATTCTTGCAGAATCTTTTATTTAGGAATGGAGGTGGAGCCTTAGTCAGGTATTTTATTGCATAATATTAATTCATATTCAAATTTCTTTCTTTGATAATATTAAATGTTGGATATGTTTATGTGACTAGGGACCTTTATTTTATTACATATTGTTTAAAATTTGCTTTATTTACAGCTGTATCTATTAAACAAAATTATGTTTTAAAGTGATTGTATTTTATATCAATCTGAAAATGAGTCCAAGAAAGCCTACAAGATCATAAACTTGTAATAACTGCTAATGGCCAGCAAATGGTAGAGCTGAATTCCTTGTTAAATTCCATGTCTTAATTGTGTTGTTCCGTATTGCTTTCAGGGTGTGTGGTTTTGAATTGTGTCAACAGGTGATGCTTAAAGTGGACCTATCATCAGAAATATTTTCCCATGTAAGGTGCAACACTTGCAGATTCTGATATCCTATACCAGGCATCACAGTACCAACCTGACAATGCCTTCATCTGCTGTTCTCTCCAGAAAGATGGCACCATCTTTATAAAGGCACTCTCTAAGGTCAGCATCTGCTTCCTGGACTGAGATTCAGGTCCAGAAATAGCATGCAAATTCTGCAGCCTGTGTGGTTCTTTGCTGACCGAGAATAGATTGAAAAGCAGACTGATGAAGTAATCTCATCCTAGGTTAAGGTACGTGCCTAGAGCTCAGGTACAGCTTTTTAATTATAAAAGGTAAAGCTTTTATTTTTTTTTTATTATACTATTTATATTGTTGCTGTATTTTGTGACATGCCAAAAATATATTCATGAAGGTTTATTGGTTGAACTAGATGAATCTGTGTCTTTTTTCAATCTGCTTTACTATGTAATTATGTTACTGAATCGGAAGATCCCATCCTGGGAACTAAGCTGGACAATATAGAATAACATTAACTACTGGTGGAAGACAGCAAAAATTAAGATATTAGCAGCCTATGTAGGTAGGGGGTGCATATAGATTAACGCAAACTCTGAAGCTTTGACTAGGATTGAATAATGCCCTCGTTATTATTATTATTGTTATTATTATACAGTATTTATAAAGCGCCAATAGTTCGCTCAGCGCTGTACATTACAGAGGGGGACAGAACATGTGACAGAACAATACCAATACAATGCAAAACATGAGGGGATTGAGGGCCCTGCTCTTTCGAGCTTACAATCTAGGAGGGAGGGATATAGGTATAGGTATATTTACCTCCTCTGGCTGAAAACCCCCAGAGATGATATCCCCCTGCCCTGCCTAGTTGCAAGCATGTTGTTAAGATGCTCCCAGCCATTACTGTTAACCCCAAACATCACAGGAGCGAGCTCTCAAACCTACACACATGCGTAGTTCACTATCTCCTTCATTGCAGCAGCACTGAGCTCAGAATTGGAGAAAGAGCTTACAACTATGATAGTGGGGATGAGCACTAATGGCTGGGAGCATCTTAGCAATGACCTAGCAATGAGACAGAGTGGGGGGCATCACCTCTGGGAGTTTTTCAGCCAGAATTTGGGAGGAATATAAATGGCCTACACTTATAGCAAGGGTGTTATTCAACCTTGGTCAAAGCTGCAGAGTTTGTTTTTATTTACAGTCACCCCTTACCTGCATAGGCAGTTTTTGGTAAAGGTTAACTAACTCTTTAAAAAATTAAACCACTGGAGAGTCACAAAGTCTATTTAGCATTGACTGAAGTTATCATCGTTGATAAAGTTAATGTGGATATGAATTTGTATCCTTGCTCAGACCTCCTTTGCTAAAAATACAGGTATTAGAAATGTTATGTTAAATAATTGTGAGCTTCATAAGATCTGCAAAATGTAATATCATGCCTATAATACATTTATGTTCATGAAAATGTTTTCTTTCTTTAAACTCAGAGTTGAAAATACGAACCTTCAATAACAAGATCTGCAGTAGTTTCCAAGTTTTCAAATCTGCAGGTATACTGCCCTTGGTCCTCTGTTCTTACATCTTGGATAGTAAGCTTGTGAATATTCTCATTGACCTCTGTTCGATATCTTCCTCGAGGTTCAATAACTTTTCCATTTCTGTACCACTGAGACTTCACATTTGGAACTGAGAACTCACAAATTAGAGTGTTACTGTGTCCCTCCTTGATGGAACGATCCTGGAGAGGCTTTATAACTATAGGTTCTGCAAAGAAATGCAAATCATGATTTAAGCACAAGGATAGAGAACACAACAAGGGTCATTAAATAATGTAGAAAAAGTAATTACCAATCACAGTTAATTTGGCACTGGCTATGTGTGGTCCACATACTATACGATAATTTCCTTGATCCTCCAACTGACAGTTCTTAATTCTGAGATAATGACGATCTCCTTCGACACTAATTTCATATTTGTCATTTGTGTCCAGTTTTACTGTTCCTTTGTACCAAGAGAGTTTGATTTCAGGGTAATTGATCTTGATTTCACACTCAAACAAGGCTACTTTCTTTCTTTCCACAGTTTGATCCTCAATATCTTTGACTAAATTAATAGGCTGCAAAAAAGTAGTAAAAATAACATAAGTAGATCCATTTAATGTATATTGTACTGAAGGGTAATTAAAGCTGAACTCCAGGCAGATAATGAAAGGCACAAATAATGCAGCTCTTTAGTTGTTAATACATCATTAAATGTATTTCACTGTATATGCAATCAGTGTAAATACCTGAATGGGACTTGATATCAGCCTCTTGTAGTCTAATGTACAGTCTGTACAGCAGAGCTCAGAGAGGCAGAGGGAGAAGCAGCACACGTGGCTAGTGTGCTGCAGTGCAAGAAGCCTTACTGATAGCAGGAAAGAGGAGACTGACAAAGAGATTAGCTCATTGATTAGCTCATTGATGTGCTGCTTCTCATTTCACTGTCCTTTAACATGGTGGGGAGGGGAACTGTAAGTGAAAATGAAACTGCAGAATCAAAAGATCTGGTCCCCTTCCCTGCTAGACAGAGCTGTGCTGCATACACTAATCCTTTGGTAGTTCTAATATATGTAATTAATTTGTGTTTTCAGCTGTTTGACCTCAGTTCAGCTTTAAGAATTAAGAAGTCATTGCCTACCTCAGCTTGGCTCATTCTTTGTTGAATAAATGATACAAGCTCATCAAATTCCTGCTCTTCTGTACCAGAACGTCCCTCAAGTTCAAGCTCCTAGAAGAAGAAAAGAAAAATACATTTAATTTTAACTGCAACCATGGCAGCATGACTGTGATTATATTCTATAATTCTAGTAAATGTTCCCATAATCAGAATCAAAATATTTGTATTTGATAATAATGCCTTTCAACCATGTTATAAAAGGCATATGTAAAAAAGAGGTTGGTTTAATACCATGGGAAGTGTGTAGAATGCTATTATTGACTTCTGCTGAAAATGCTGTCTGGGAGCCATTATAAATCCTTGATGCAAAAAATGAATGCAGACAGGAAGCTCTAATTTCACTATGACATCACTTGCTGAATGCTTGTTCATGAGACATGAAATGACAGTTTTCAAGGCAACCATCTTTTTCAAAAGGTGATCAGTAATGACAGCTTCCATATTCCTTTCAGAAAGTTTTATAAAGTCTAAAGCCTAAAGCCAAACATTTGTGACTAGAAACTCTGTCAGGATTTTTTTTAGCTGCCTGTGCCTCAACTTGGGAGATTCAACCTCTTTATTTGTTGTGGGGACCCCTGGGACTTAAAAAATGCAAACTTTTGAGTCAGAACATGAATATGTCTTCCAAATGAGACCCTTGTTTGGGTAACAGAGTCTAAGTTAAGGTTCACATCTCTGCTAATGGGGGATTGCGTGTAAATCACATGCATTCCCACCACTAATAGCAAAAATGCATTGCTGTTTAGCAGATGTGTGGGGGTACCATTAATTCTAAATGTCACTTCCCTGAATTGGAAAATGGGGCACTTTTTCCATGTGTAGAAATGCATAAGACCATGTGGTTTTTGCACGGCTGCAATTTTAGAAAAGCTGCAGGGGTATTTTCCCTGCATTTCCGGCAGGTACAGTATCCCATTCAAATGGATTTTAACCTTTCTCTTTTCTATCCAAAATGAAAAAATAAATCAAGTTTTGGTTTTACATATACTTTAAGTGAAATCTCTTATGTCCTTGCTATGGTTGCAATTTAAAATGTGTGGATGAAATACTACAACGTTAGATGTCAGCCACTGGTCATATGCCCAAATGAAATATTTTTGTAATTCTTTGAGCAGCTACAATGTATAAATCCGGTTGCTCCATGAATAATCAACCATGTCAAAAAGAAGCACTGCTTAGGAAACATGAGAATGAGTTTTGGAGAATAATAAAACTTGGCTTGTGTAACAATTATCTTAAACTTTAAAAAACATAATTAGGAATTAGACTTGCCATTCTGCGGCTTTCTTCTTCTCTGCTGGCTTTGAGAAGTTCAAAAGCTTGAAGAAGACCACGGAAGTCTGTGATGCCATACATTCGGGCATATTTTTCATACTCCTTAGGATCAACATTTTTCAACAGTTCCATTATATCAATGGCTTTCTCTTCTTCTTCCTCCTTCTTCTTAGTTGGAGTCCTAAAATTACATTTAGAAAATAAGCATCACCCTATATGTACAGTATGTTTTTGTTTTTACAACATATTTATGTGCATTTATTTACTTTTTAAGTTTGGCTCTGAGGTCACCCTCAAAGGACTCTTGTTTCCTTTCCTCGACTGACAGGTTTGTATTGCACTCAATTTCACCATGTTTGTTGACGGCCACACATCTGTATTGTCCAGAATCAGTCTTAGTAACATCTTTGATTTCCAGCTTAGATTCATCTCCTTTCTGTTGAACCACAATGCGGCCACCGTGATTAATCTGCCGCCATTTACCCTTCATCCATTTGACATTAGGAATTGGATCACCTCCGACTTTAGCAATGAATGTTGCAGTGCCCTCTGCAAGAGTAGTATAAAGTTAGTGATAGTGAGCAGTGTAATCATGTTTGGGAGGGGTTTAATTCATAATTATAAACATAAACACTTACTCTCAGCAACTTTTACACTGCCTGGTTCAGAGACAAAGAATAGCTTTCCTTCAATTGCTGCTTTCTTCACTGGTGCTGCTGCTGCAGCAGGTGCTTTTTCTAAATAAAGAAAACAGTGCCATGGAACCAATTTATTAACATTCTTGCAAAGGCAAAACTTTTTTTTTTTGGACAGGGTGGGGAAGAGTTAGATCTTTTACTGTGTCCCTGCTGGGGAGAGTCACACCTCCATTTGTCCAGGTGACCATTATCATCAAGGCAAAAAACAAGTGGAAATCCTATATTATATAGTTGTAATGAGAGCTAGAGATGCTCACTTTGCACTCCCAGCACAATAAAGAGCTGTCATTGACTGGCATTGTTTGATATTGGGAGCTCCCATTAATGTGACTACTGTGACAGTCAGTAATAGCTGTCACATCCAGAATAAAAGCCCTCTTAAAGGGCTTCTGAGTGGTGGTGGTATTTGGGTATTCTGTTCAGCAGAAGATAAAAATATTTAAAATGTAAAAAACTGTAATATGAATTTGTTTTTAGAATTATTTCTGATCACGTATGGAAATAAAACATTAAGTACTATTTATAAATGAACTTATGACCTTTCAGATACAATGAAAAGTTTCCTGTAGTATTTGTTTTATTATATTGTGTACCTTTAATTGTGACTTTAGACGTTGTGGATTCACTTCCTGCAGAGTTGGTGGCTTTGCACACATAATCTCCAGCATCTCCTTTAGCGGCGGCTTTCAGTTCTAATGTTGCAGTTCCTCTAACAAAGGAGACACTGCAAGTATTTGAAGACTTGACTTCACGTCCACCCTTGAGCCACTGAATCCTGATTGGTTGAGATCCCTCAACGTGGCAGCTAAGCTGTAAGCCCTCTCCTTCTGCGACAGTTACAGGTGATAGAGGAGCATCAAATACTGGAGGTTTCTTAGGTTCTGTAAAGAAGGCAACAGTTTGTTTGTTTAATTAAAGTTACTGAGTTTGTGATCTTTTTTTTATTATTTGTGATCTTTTTTTTAATATTTGCAAAACTGAAAAACAAACCTTTGATAAGTACTGAAGAAGTGCAAAGTGCACTGCCAGCATCATTTGACACCTTGCAAGTATATAGGCCAGCATCTTCCTGGCTGGAATTCTTAATCTGAAGTAGCACCACATTGTTCTTGAAAGAGATTTCACTGTTAACTGATTGCTGGATTTCCTGGTTATTTCGGCTCCAAGAAACAATCAGTGGCTGTGAGCCGGCAACACGGCCTTCCAGTTTGAATGAGTTGCCCTCTGTCTCCTCAACAGTTTCAGAAAACTTTTTAGTGAAATTTGGAGGCAGTTTCCGTTCTGTATATACAAATATAAATAATATAAATGCATATAATAAAAATAATCCTTATTTAAGAGGCTTATTAACCTCCATGGCAGTCTGATTATGTCAATATTTTTGAATGTCAAAGCAGAACATTATTTTGCATGGATATTTGTTGTTTTATATTGTAGGCCTGTAATTCTTAAGAATAACTCACTTAAATCTGTCCAAACAAGAGTCTAGTAAACATCCCAGGTATGATAAAGTTTGAAACACGAAATCATAAATTATAATATAATAAATAATTATAAATAATTATAAATTAATAATAATATAATAATAAATTTAATTCAATAATTTAATCAAACCAAAAACAGCTTTTGCCCTAAAGGGATGCTTTTATGATGCCATGGACGGTCTCAAGTTTCCAGGCAGAAAAAATGGTAAAAGTGCAGGCAGGGCACTGGACAAAGCACTAGGGACAAAACTGAGGTGAAATGGGTTGATATAGTAATGTAATCCTAACAGATTACAATGTATTGTGTGTATGTCATGTTTTGTTTACTTCTTTGAATTCTCCCGCTGGTTCCACCCCTCTTGCGTTTTGGCGCTCGTAGGGAAGGGAACCTGGAAGATGGATGCTGGCTTCGGCCAGAGGACACAGTTAACTCAAGCAAATAAAGATATTATGACCTCCAACCTGCATAAGCAATCCTATTACACCATTAACACTTGGAAAAACCTCCTCTGCACATTCCTTTTGCCACTGACTCAAGCCCTTCTTCCTATACCTAGTATTATCAGGAATTGTTCCTTTCCCTAGTGAGGTGCACAAATTAAAAATAATCTTGGGACATGAAAAACTATAGGTTACCCAAGTCTGTTTTATAAAATGTGTACTATGATATTTACAGCTAAATTGGTTGACTCCCTTTTCAAAGCATTGATTAGGTCAATAAGACTGTGTAGTTATAGTAATCATCATTCCACTGCTCACTATAATGTAATCATTGATAACAGCTAGGAAGTTAATATATATTGGAAGTGAAAAACATAGGGTGTAAATGTTCAATTTATTGGCCCAGGGACTGCAAAAACCATAATTATGCATTTTATATTAATGTAGCAAATATGTGGAGTCAGCTTCATTTTGGTTGAGGAACAGAAAATGAAAATTTCTTAGTATAGGGTCACATGATACACATGCTAATATTAGATTGATTAGAGACACTGGGGTTGATTAGCTAAATATGCAAAAGATTGTTCATCTTGCAAGAGAAATTTGTACTTTGCAAGGGAATTTTTTTAATCTAAGTGAATGATTTGAAGCTCTGCTGACTTCCATTGCCCAGTCATGTGCAAGCAAAAATATTGGGGTTTTCTTTCCTTGCTTGTGATTGGGTATTTTTTGAAAAGTGAATTTTCTTCACATTCACTAAGCTAACAGAAAATTCCTCTGCATATCAAAATTCCCTTGCAATATTAACAGTCTATTTTCTTTAATCAAAAAATGTCTGGTGACACTGGTTACATGTGTGCAATATGTGTGCGATAGTGTAAGTAGTCACCAATGTCTGAACACAGTGCAGTGTTACTTTTTATACATTCCCCAATTTATCTTCGAAATTGGGTATATTAATAAAATACAAAGTAGCCAGAACTCTTCCTTATCACAGTGCTATTAGCCCATTTCTTGTTTCCTAGACCCTTTTGGCTACAGTGTGTGCTATGGCCAATAGATGGGTAATGAGAAAGTGGTGGATAGCACAGCGACCAAGAAAGTAATTTTGTACATTTCAGTAGTGCTTAAATTGTAATGCATTATAAATTATCACTTAAAGCACATTACACATCATGGTGAATTTTAAAATAATAATACTAAAAAAAGAATAATACCTTGTACATTAAGATTGACATTGCAAGAATCTTTTCCAACATCATTGGTGGCAGAACATGTGTATTGGCCAGAATCAGCCTTGTCTGTCTTTAGAATTGTGAGTTTTGTTGTATTCTCCAGTTGAGTAACCTTGTAATTTCCTCCAGTTTTGACTTCTTTGCTTTCTTTGGTCCAAGTCAGTTTGATAGGCTGTGTTCCTGTCACATGGCACTCAAATTCTGCAGGGTCTCCTACGGGAACATCTACTGGTGATGGCTTTACATCAAAGAATGGTGGGTTTTCTACCCTCTAAAGTGGGTTGAGAAAAAAATTGGTATTAGGAATATTGCAGGAAATCTTACACAGGTGATAAAATATAGAAATAGACAACCCACAAACCTGTCAGAATGAGTTTGGCATTAGAAGAGGCAGTTCCAACAAAATTGGAAGCTTTACAAGTATACTGCCCAGCATGGTGTCTGTCAGTTTGAAAGATTTGAAGGGTAGCAGTTTTATCTATATATGATGTTTGAATATTATAGTCATCTCTTAAAAGTACACCATCTTTATACCAAGAAACCTCAATAGGTTCTGACCCAACTATTTGACATTCAAATGACACCGATAAGCCAACAGTTTCCTGTATGTCCTTCACTTTTCTTGCAAAGGAAGGTGGAACGATACGTTCTGCAGAAAAATGCAGTAAAAATTGTTGAATGCTTTCTGTACATAGTATTACGCTAGTATATCAGCAGGAAGCTTTAATAGTTAGGCGAAACAATGCGAATGCACTTTATGTTTTGCCATCGTGTACCGACTAAATAGCCTCAGGAAAAAGCAACATTTAACTTTATTGATAAGCGCATTATTAAACTTTAAAATACGTTTACCTGTTACTGTCAGAAGAGCGGCAGAGGAGGCAGTGCCAACTGGATTTTCTGCTTTGCATAAATATTCACCAGAATCATGCACATTTGTTTGAGTGAAAACAAGTGTAGCCACATTGTTCTTAAAGTGTATTTTACAAGCATCTGTTTTTCTCAGTTTGGTATCGCCTTTGTACCACGCCACTTTAATTTCTGGTGTGCCTTGAATTTGGCATTGCAAGGAAGCAGCATCACCTGCGGTGACCTCCACTGGTTCCAGTGGTGTAATGAAATAGGGTGGTTCTGAGAGATAAGACATCACAATTAGTATAGGTAATTTAGGAAATGTATGCTTGAAAAATAACAATAAATGGTGCCTTTTATGAATACTAATTGCAGGATATCTGCTGACCCTAGTAATCCATCCATCATAATATTAAGAACTATTTTTTACTTTGTCCCACATGTTGCAGTGATGCCACCAGTATTCATTACAGCTTTCTACCCAGTTTCCTGTTATGAGATATGTAGCAAGAACCTCCCCAATACAGAGATAAAACCTAAAGAATGTTCTAACCCCCAACCCACTGTACTCTAGAAAAAATACTTTTATTGTTACTACAGGAGAAATTCTATCCACTTACTATCCAAATGAACATAAAGAGAGAGAGGGCAAATCATAGAAAAAAGCAGAGAGAAGTTGAAATTATCCATTAATTCTGAAGCTTATACCTGAGAGGGTTTTTAATCCTTACCCATTTATTCAATAGCTAAAACTAGATATACACTACATACCTGAAACTTTTACTGTTGCTTGACAGGTATCACGTCCAACTTCATTTTCTACATGGCAAGTATAAACACCATCATCATCATTTGTGCAGCTTGAATATTCCAGTATACAAGATTTGTCTGTTGTAGTAATGCTGCAGCGTTCAGACTGAGACACCTCAACACCATTCTTCTTCCATGTCACATATATTGGAGGAGTTCCAATATAAGAGCACTCAAGAATAATCGGTTTGCCAGTATCTGCCTGATAGTTGTTGAGTTTCTTTACAAATGCAGCAGGTTCTATTGGAAATTAAAACAAAACATATAAAGAAATAATTAGCATATTTATTGAGTGTAACTGCAGATTTATGCATGATTTAAATGAAAAATCAGAGTTCAATTTAAATAATTTCCTTGCTAACCTATAGTTGAAATCTGGGCACCATCATTTGAATATCTTTAGAGGGGTTAGTAGTTGGTTACCTATGTCTTGTGCCAATTCTTTATTTTTTTTTCCGTATAGTTCATATAATTTTAGTTGAGCTATGTACAGCTTTCTTTGTATTTCTGCTCCCCCATCAGCTCAAGTACTGCAGGTATGATATATGCATTTATATATGATATATATAAATGCTCTTGTTATGCCTTTACCCCATCTATGCCTTTTCTCTATTTATAAAATGCAGGCAATGATGATGCTACAGCTGTGGGTTTTGTGAGTGGAAAAAAAAGTAGAAGGGCAGACGTACAACACCAGTGCTAGTGTCTATAATACCTAGACCTGTTATGTTGATGTGGGGGGAAACAGAAGAACAATGGAAGCTGTACTGCCTGGACCAACTAAAAGCCAGGTTTTTAAACTATTCTACTTAAAAGAAGACTGAACTGATATATGGCAAGTTTAACCAGATAAAAACCACTCTAAACCTCTTCAAATGATGAATCCTAAAAGTTTAGCTGTACAAATTTGAAACAAAAAAAACAAGCAAAAAAAAGTATGCACCACAGGTATGTAACAAAATTAAAAAGTTGGAAGTGCAGATTTATTCAGTTAGCTAGTAATTACTGTATATCTTTAATTGTATTGATGGATACCATGTCACCGATTGTGCTGCATTTTTTAACAACTTCAAATCATATTTAATGAACTAACCTTTAACAAAAAGTTGAGTAGAGCATGAGTCCCTTCCAGCATCATTAATGACGTGACAAGAATATTCCCCACTTTGTAGGCTGTTGACATTGTAAAGCTCCAAAACTGCCATAGACTCGGTCAGTGTAATATTGCAATTACTTCCTGGCACAATTTCATCACTTCCTTTGTACCAAGAAATTTTGAATGGTGGAGTTCCACGAAGCACTCCGGCAAAAGTAACTGTGGCACCTGGGAGGACTTCCACAGGTTCTGGCTTCTCCACAAATGATGGTGGCTCTGTAAAGCAAAAACTGTAATTAACAGCAGAGCCCAGAATGCAGACTTTAAAAATAACGAGATTCATATACTGCTTATCAAACTAACCTTTAACAGACAAAAACAGCGCTGCATTCATCAGATCCAGCAATGTTGGTAGCATGGCAGGCATATTTTCCAGCATCTGCTGGTGCTAGACCACTGACTTTTAGTGTGCAAGTGTTGTCTGTAAGGGTAGTCTGGTATTTGTCTCCACTGACAATTTCACTGCCATTGAAAGACCAAGAAACTGATATGGGTGGAGATCCAGATACTTTACATTCCATGGAGGTTGTTGACCCAAGTAAGCCATATGTTTCTTTTAGTTTTCTTGTGAAAGATGGAGGAATAATTCGGTCTGAGAAGTAGAAAACAATGTTAAGTTAATACAGAAAATGCTTTAAATTGAAGCAAAAAGCTGGATTGCATATTTGATCCTTAAAGGAATATAAGCAATCTTGAGCATCCATGTAGACAAAAAGACTTTAATGTGGTTCAGCTGAAGCCTTGATCATAGCTAATTGTCTGTCAATAGCAAAATGTAGAGAGGCCTCTCAACTTTATGAGAATTTCTTGTCTTACATCAGGATACTGTCCTACACCAGAATACTGATGACTGCTGCTTTGACTCTTTACACGTTCCACAGTATTAAAATGACTTTTTTCAGTACAAAGCAGAGGGAATGAACAAAAAGGTAAGGCTGAGGATAAGTAGCCTCTCAGAAGTTGGTACCTCAGTTTTACTGTGCTAGATCAGAAGAAATCTGGAAATATAGACTGATTATAGAACCAATGATTTTTGTCATGGTTTTCCATCATTCTGTTAACAGATGTTAAAACAATAAGAATATGAGAGGCGAGGAAGGAGTCCTATGTGCATGTCTGCTTTTCTTGAAGTCTACTTCACTAGGGATTAATACAAAGAGTAATTTTTTCACAGGGGATGGGGGTGCAATGCTAAATTTGTACACATGATGTTATACAACTGAGAACCAGCCCTGTTAATCAGCTTAGCAGAAGCAAAGAGTAGGCAATAGAAAAAATTGTTTTAAAGCATACTACATTACCAACCTGAGACATCAACAATGGCTGTACAGCTGCTCTTGCCAACATTGTTCTTAACCTCAAATACATATTCCCCACTATCATCTGTTCCAGTGGAAAGAATTTTCAGGCTAGCAACTTTGCCAAAGAAGCTAACTTTGTATTTTTCATCACTTGTCAGTTCTGTTCCATCTTTAAACCAGGTGGTTATAAACTCTGGGGTTCCACCAACAGTACACTCCAGGGTGCAAGAATCACCTGCAGTGACCTTTGTCGGCTGTGGCTTTTCAACAATTATTGCGGGCTCTGAAAAACAGTGGTGAGCATATTATAAAGAATTCCAATGAATCAAGACTAAAGTAACCAATTATTGTCCTTTTCATGTGCACCTTGCTTATGCTAGTTAATCTGAATGGTTACCATGTTTTTCTTTGCTTTGTTGGCTTTGGAGAAGCTACACACTGAAACTCTTCAACTGAACAAGTTTTGGCTTCTGGTGTGTTTCTGTACCTTTAAAGAGGGTAGTGGCTATCTCCAAGACATGACTTCTTTCAGTCTGTTGCTATACAGTATGCCCCAGACTAGGATGTCATTTAAATTAAAGTTAAGTACCACAAATGTTATAAGTGCCCTGGCAGTGTGGCTCCATGTAGATTTGCAAATTTATGCAACAAAACCTATGTATGTAATGCACATTATTGAAACATATTAGACTTTGTTTTTAGCTGACTATCTAGAAAGTCTGCTCAGGAATTTTGTGTATTGTTTCCCTGCCCATGCACACCTTTTTGTGAGTTATAAATAGAATGGAGCAGTTGCCATTTTTGTTTTACTTTAATAATTACAGTACCCAGTTTCAAATATATTCTGCCACAATACAATATTTTGACACACCAGGTTGTCCTATACAAACAACAAACTTCTCCTGATTTCAACAATATAAAATAAAATGAATATGGATGATGGAAATATAATTAAAGACTTAGTTAAGTTAAAAAGTTTATAATAATATTATTTACTGAAGTGATACTGACCTAACACTGATAAGCTGGCAAAGCATTCCTGTGCACCAGCTTCATTCTTGATCTGGCATGTGTATTTTCCTGTATTCTCTGGTTTAGCACTTGCAAAGTTAAGAGTTGCAATGTTATTGACAAATGAATAACTGATGTTTTCACTTTCTCTGATAACCTCTTCCTTATCCTTTAGCCATGCAACAGTGATGGGTGGGGTGCCATCAACTACAGCTTGAAGCTGAGCTGGCTCTCCAACCACTAAAGTAAAGTTCTCAAGTTTCTGGACAAATCTTGGAGGGTCTGTAGAGAAAAATAATACTTTATGAAGTCCATGGAAAGCAAAAACAATGAAATTGATATTATTTTGCATACTATAAAAAGGAACTTAAAGCAGCTGAACTATACAAACCTTTAAGCTTAATGGAACATAAGCAGGTGTCACTTCCAACATCATTCACTGCTTTGCATTGATATTCACCAATGTCACCAGCATCTACTTTAAGGATATGTATAGAAGCAAGGTAGTTTTCAGTTATGATCTTAAATTTCTTACTGCTCTTAATCTCCTTCCTGTCTTTAAACCAGGAAACTTCAAATGGAGGTGTGCCGCTCAGCTGACATTTAAGAGTTACATCAAGACCTTTTAATGTTAGCACAGGTTCTGGCCTTGCAATGAAGACAGGAGGTTCTGTAATAAAGAAGATACATTTTATGAGTGTATTTTTTAATGAATATGGTTACTACAAAACTAGCTTTACTTAGAGTGACTATCTTTCTTCCTGCTTGCTAACAATTGGGTTTTACTAGCTTGTTTACTGCAACTAAGCTTCAGCATGACCACTAAGACTCAGTTGTTCATTTACTGGACACAACCATCATGTCTCTTGCAATCTATAGAGATCAGTTGTTTCCCTACTGGGTACAACCAACATGTTTCTTGCAAATTTATAGAGAAGGTGTTGCCAGGCGTTCATTTACAGCCTGTACAGCAAAATATTAATCCCAGTCTTTCCTGTGATAGTCTTGTTTCATTGCCTTAGACATATAAATAAAGGCTTAGCGCCTCACCTTTTACAAAATGTAAAAAATCTCTATATCAATAATCAGGCTTTTTATTCTGCTTGGTAATCATTTGTGGAAAGAAGGAATGCATTTGAAACAAGGAACAGGGCAGATTAAGACACTAGCACCATAATATACATGCCTGGGGAAAGTTAAGCACTTTGTAAAGAGATCATTAATTTCATCTAATGAGGGAAGTAACCTTGTATTTATCATATCGCAAATCAATATAAACAAGCAAATATTCATCATTAATCTGAAGCAGCTTATTAAGGATGGTAAAGGCTAATAAGGGCTAAGAATATTTATTTATTCTTCAGTTTTCTTTAGTAACTATTTAATGTAGTAAATGAAACATGACTCTTACCTTTCACTTTTAGAGAACCACTGCAGCTGACACTGCCAGCATTATTGTGTGCTTCGCAAGTGTAGTCTCCACTGTCATTAATGTTAGCATCAGCTATTTCCAAAACTGCCACAGAGTCAATAAAGGACATTGCATATTTGCCACTAGGTTGGATCTCAGCATCATTCTTGAACCAAACAACTCTAATCTCAGGTGATCCACTGATTTTGCATTCAAACCTATCAGAATCTCTTTGCTTGATGACCTTTGATGACTCCAACTTCTTTACAAAACGTGGTGGTTCTTGTGAAATGAAATTAACATATATTAGCATGTTCAATAGTGGACATGAAGGCTTAGTGTAAATATTTAAAATGATTATTTTTAAGAGTGAAACTGTATCTGGCAGTTGCAATATTAAAAAATATGGCACTTCAGATAAACACTGCAGCCTTTGTTTATATGCAATTATTTGTTTATGAACCAATGTTTATCTGCAAGCTGAAAATGTTAATTTTTGTCAATGAAGCCACTAACCTGTAAAATATTTATAGGGAAGCTAATGCAAGAGAATCACACATTTTACGTTAACAAAATATTGAGAAATACTGTACTCTGTTTAATGTGCAAGAATACTATTTCACAAGCAATAAGATAAGGATAAAACATTGGACACATTAAGCAAACTAGTATTCTATTGTAGTTTTTATTGTAGCTTTGACAAAATAGAAAAAAGGTAGTGCTCTAACCAAATAATCAATAATAACAAAAATCAAACATCAAAACGTGAATAAAATATACACTATAAATTGCAAAAGACAAAAAAGTGAAAAAATATATAAAAATCCAAAAGATATATAATCTTATGTGCAAACAAATTATGATAAACCTTATTTTATCAAAGAAATAAAGTGTTCAATTTCATCATAAAGAAATATATATTCTGAAAAATCAATACCAAACATAAAACATGTGTCCAATAATATTGTCCTTAAGTGCAGAAACAATACGTGAATAAAAAGAACAAATAAAAATGTGCAACCTGATGAAGAAAAATATGTGTTTTCTTAAACTTCAGTGCTCCAAACTGTTAATTCTTGAAATGAACTCAAAACACAGAAAAAGAGAAAAATCCACCACCAGATGAATTAAACAAACTCCTGTGTTGAGCTTTGGAGTGAAGTTGCACATTTTTATTTGGTTGATGTTAAAAGTTTTTTTATTCATGTATTTTTTCTGCACTTAAGGACACTATTATTGGACACATTTTTTATGTTTTGGTATTGATTTTTCAGAATATTTATTTCTTTATGATGAAATTGAACACTTTATTTGTTTAATAAAATAAGTTTTATCATAATTTGTTTTCACATAAGATTATATATATTTTGGATTTTGGTATATTTTTTTTCACTTTTTCTTCTTTTGCAATTTATATATTTTATTCACATTTTGATGATTGATTTTTGTTATTATTGATTATTTGGTTAGAGCGCTACCTTTTTTTTTTATTTTGTCACTTTTTACCTTGTTTGAGGGTGAGGTTTTAGCTGCTCTTTTATTCACAGATTATTTGTTTAATAGGTGTTTCTAATGACGCTATCCATACCCTACAATCAATCACTTTATTGTAACTTTACCTTGCACATCAAGAGAAGCTGAGCAGGAGTCTTTTCCAGCTTCATTGCTGGCATAGCATGTGTAATTACCAGCATCGACCTTACTGACTTTCAGGATCTTTAAGTGCACTCTGTTTTCTGTAAAAGTGATCTTGTAGTTTCCTCCGGAGCGAATTTCTCTGTTGTCTTTTGCCCAAGAGACTTTAATGGGCTGTGTTCCAGTGACATGGCAGTCGAAAATGGCAGCTTCGCCAAGAGGAACATTAGTAGATTCAGGTTTTATGTCAAAGACAGGACCTGATTTGGGTTCTGGAAGTGAAAGACAATTAAGATTATGTCTATACATTTGTAAAATAAAGTTCTTCTGTGTTGTTTAATAAAAAAGAAAATAACAAAAAGCAATGGCACTCATAATTTAACAAACCTGTGAGGATAAGCTTAGCGCTGGAAGATGCAGAACCAATGGGATTTGTAGCTGTGCAAGAATACTGACCAAGGTGGTCAACACTACTGCTCAAAATATGAAGAGTAGCAATGTTGTCTATATATGAAGTTTGCACATTATTGTCATCTCTCAAAAGAAACACCATCCTTATACCAAGAAACCTCAATTGGTTCTGAACCATTTATTCGACAGTCAAAAGTAACAGGTAAGCCAATAGTTTCCTGAACATCTTTAACTTTCCTTGCAAATGAAGGTGCCACCTTACGCTCTGTAAAAGAATAAGGTTTATTGTCAGAAGAGTTTTTCAAAGCCCAAGCAGTTTTTCCCCCCATGCAAAAAATCTTGCATAGTGTATAAGAGTGGTTGTAAAGAAGTTAATTTCACCTTGCACACTGAAAAGAGCACTGGAAGAGGCAGATCCAACTACATTTTCTGCTTTGCAGATATATTCACCGCTATCTGTCTTTTCCACCTTGTTGAAAACTAATGTGGCAACGTTATTTTTGTACTGCATTTTGTAAGCAGGGGTGGACCTTAGCTTAGTGTCTCCCTTGTACCAAGACACTTTTATCTCTGGTGTTCCTCCTACTTGACATTGTAAAGATGTAGCTTCTCCAATGGTAACCTCCACTGGTTCCAGAGGTGAAATGAAATAAGGTGGTTCTAAAGAACAAAGAATTGGAAGAAGGACCATTAAAAGCTATTTAGCAAAAAAAAATGTTTTAATATAGTCACCTAAATAAGTACAAACCTAAAACGGAAAACAAGGCACTACATGTGTCTTGTCCAGCTTCATTTGCCACCTGGCATGTGTACTCTCCATCATCCTCCTGTGCGGCATTAAACATTTCAAGCAGGCAAGATTTTTCTGTGGTGGTTATGCTACACCTCTCAGACTGGCTTATTTCTCTACCGTTCTTTCTCCATGTGACCACAATGGTTGGAGAACCCACATACGTGCATTCCAAAGTGATAGCTTTGCCTGATTCGACACTAGTGTCATTCATTTTCTTCACAAATGTTGCTGGAGCTATTGAATTGTTGCAAAGAAAAAACCATTTACATGAGTATGAACCATATTGTATTATGGCTGAAAATATGAACTAATTGTAAAACACGTGCCAAGTGATACCACTAACCTTTCACAAGAAGATGTGTTGTACATGAGTCTTTGCCAGCATCATTGCTTACCAAGCAAGTATAATCACCACTCTGTATTGAATCTACATTGTACAACTCTAATGCAGCAAATGAATTTTGCAAGGAGATATTACAGCTAGGTCCTGGCACCAGTTCACTGCTTCCTCTAAACCAGTTAACCTTGAACGGTGGTGTTCCTTTAATCACACTGGTAAAGGTAACACTTGATCCTGGTAACACTTCTTGTGGATCAGGTTTCCTCACAAAAGAAGGTGGTTCTAAATACAAAGCAATGATATTAATTAACATTAGGTAAACTCTCTCCAAAAGCTGCAAGTTCAAGACAAAGATTGTTAGATGAAGAGGTAGGATATCTGGTATGCAATAGCAGCTTTTAGGAGTGTTATTCCATTAAGGCTACAATTTCTACCAACCTTGGACTGCAAGGGATGCACTGCATTCATCTGTTCCTGCAACATTTGCAGCTTCACATGTATAAGTTCCGACATCTGCAGCCCCCAGTGAGTTTACTGTTAAGGCACAGGTATTGTCTGCAAAGGTGATATCATATTTGTCACTGCTAACAATTTTGTTGCCGTTTTGGTACCAAGAGACAGAAATAGGGAGAGAGCCAGAAACTTTGCATTCCAAGCATGTAGAAGATCCCAAGACACTGTTGGTATCTTTCAGTTTTCTGGTGAAAGATGGTGGTATGGCACGATCTGTAGGAGGACAGTATGCTATAAGTGAAACCAGATACCTATCATATATAAATATCTAAAATGTTAAGTAAAGAAATATAATTGTGCTAACCAAGAACATCAACTGAGACTGTACAGCTGCTTTCACCGACATCATTTATAACTTCGAAAGTGTAAGCCCCGCTATCTGCCCTGTCAGCAGAGAGAATCTTAAGCGTTGACCTCTTGTTAGAGAAGGTAATAGAGTACTTATGATCACTCCTTATCTCCCTGGCATCTTTATACCACTTAGTTATTAACTCTGGTGAGCCAGCAACGGTACACTCAAGAGAACAGGTACCACCAGCTGTGACTCTCATTGGATCTGGCTTCTCCACAATTCTTGCTGGTTCTGAAACAAAAAGTGCAGGGAAAGAAAATATATGTTTATTTTTGAAAAACTATATGGTCTAAATTATTTGCTAGCTAACACCTTGAATTTAGTGATACTACTAAAAAAAAGTACTGGCATAAGTTACCAACCTATTAGAGAAAGTACAGATGCACATTCACGAGAGCCCACTTCATTTGTAGCCTGGCATGTGTATTTTCCTGCACTTAAGGTTTCTGTGCTGGAAATTTGCAAAGTTGCAATGTTGTTTACATAAGAGATTCTGACATTTTCACTCTCTCTGACAATCTCTCCTTTGTCCTTTAGCCAAGTAATTGAAATGGGCTGGGAGCCCTCAGTAACTGCCTGCAACTCAGTTGCTTCGCCAGAAAAGCAAGTGACATCACTGAGCTTTTTCACGAATCGCGGTGGTTCTATAGAAGAAGACAAGTGTCCAAGGAGACTCATGAAATAAACTTTAAAGAAAGAAGGCAGAACATACTTTCAAAGATAAGTTAGAATACTGTACCTTTGAACTTGATAGCACAGACACAGTTGTCACTTCCAACTTCGTTGACTGCCTTGCACTGGTATTCACCAATATCAGCTTGCTCCACATTAAGAACATGGATGCTAGCAAAGGTGTCTTTGGAAGTGAGTTTGAACTTTTTGCTGCTTCGAATCTGTCGCCTATCTTTGAACCAGGCAACTTCAAATGGTGGGGTTCCCAAAAGTTCACACTCAAAACTGACATCAACGCCTTTCAGAACCTCCACTGGACTAGGCTTTCTAACAAAAATTGGGGCTTCTAAGAATAAAACAAAAAACATTTTTTTTAACTAAAAATGTTTATGAAGCTGCTTTATGCTATGATAAAGCATTAGCCTATTCCATTCTGCCTGCTTCACACCAGCATATTGGGTAAGTAATTACTAAAATGGAACAGATAAAACATGGCTCTAAAAATGTTTATATCTATCTAAATGAGACTTGAAAACACATCTCAGTGGACCTCAGGACGGGATTCCCATTATTGGAGCCTGGATCCAACAACTCTGGGCAATCAAAGCAACACCGCTTTGCTAGAACACTGCTATACAGAGTATTTTCTTTTTTTACTGATTTTATTGGTCTTTTTCTTGGCTTAAAATATTGTGATAGTATATAAATAGATTCATATGTGATAACTATATTTTTTACTGATGATGGAGAAAAATGTGCAACCAAAGACCTAAAGCCAAATCCAGCTCAATATGACATGCACATTTCTATTTTTGTCCTTTCATAACAACGTCAGCTAATAAGCTATGGGAATAGGGGAGGGTATCTATAAAGCATTACATGGTTTTCCATGTAACTAATGTAGACTAATATGGATTCTCAAGAAAATCAGAAATTATATTTTAAAAGCATTTAACTTTCCTTTTTATATCTTCACAATTACTACATAAATATTATAACTTTCTGATGCATTTTAATAAAATTATTTTTTACATGGACGAAAAACTAATTTGCAATCTGCATATCTATTACCTCTATTACCTGATTTACACATATGGCTAAGTCAAGTTCCTATACCTAAGATAACCAGTTATTGGGAGCATGGGTTAACAACACTATTCTTTCAACACTATAATACACATGATTTTTTTGTACCTTATATATTTAAAAAACTATATAGCTCTTTTTAAAGCTAATACAAAGTAATTTGATAGTACCGACTAAATTACTAAAGAGAGAAAAGATAATAGCAGTAACTTGGCACCTTTTACTGTGATAGATGTACTGCAGCTTGCACTACCAGCATCATTATGAGCTTCACATGTGTAATCCCCACCGTCTTCTGGGCTGAAATCATTAATCTCAAGAAGTGCCACATTGTCGGCAAAAGATAAATTGAGCTTTTCACTTGGTTGAAGTTCGGTGTCATTTTTGTACCACACAACTCTAATTTCTGGAGATCCACTAATCTTGCAATCAAAATGGGCAGAGCCAGCAAGTGCAACAATCCGTGAAGGTTCTAGTTTCTTTACAAACTTTGGAGGTTCTAGAGAAGTAAAAGAGAAAGGTAACTATCTGTGTAGCCACATAAAATGAATTGTGTAATTTTATAACTAATACATGCTGTTGTACCTTGCTATGTGTATATGTTTTCTTGTAGCTTTATGTTTTAAGAAGCTGTGTTAGAATGTGCATAAAAGTGAACTCTGAGGAAGAAAGTAATTATAACTTCTTTGATATCTAGTGATCCCTGAAGAATGATTAATGAATCAGCTTATTCAGTTAATGATAAAAATTATATGATAATGCCAACCTACCCAGAATATAAAAACAAGGAGATGCACACATAACAAAGAACATGCTTTACATTCCCTTTACACTTGTAAGGCTTCTTGGAAGAATGCATATAAGACTCTAAACATGTATGACAGAATACCTTTCACACTCAATTCGGCTGAACAAGATTCTTTCCCAACATCGTTGGCTGCAAGGCAAGAGTAGATGCCTGAATCTCCTTTGCCCACTTTTATAATTCTCAGGTGAGCTGTGTTGCCAATGTGGGTGATTTTATAATTTCCACCTGTTTTAATTTCTTTATTATCTTTGGTCCATAGCGCCTTAATTGGCTGCGTTCCAGAAACAAGGCATTCAAAGTCTGCACTTTCCCCAAGCACAGCACCTACTGGTTCCAGTTTTTTATCAAAGAAAGGTGGTTTCTTTGGTTCTAAAAAATCAAAATAAATAGCAAAATAGCTTAGTATTCCTAACATTTTAAAGATGTATGCTGTGAGCCAGCAAGGAAATCATCAAAGTCTGATCACAATCAGGTTATGATAAAAGCACAAACCTGAGACTGTTAGCTTAGCAGAAGAAGAAGCAGTTCCAACTGCATTGGTTGCTGTGCAAGAATAGAGACCAGAATGTTCCTTCTCTGATTCCAGAATGCGAAGAGTAGCTACATTATTCACAAATGACATTTGCACATTACTGTCCTCTGTTAAAGGTACACCATCTTTATACCAAGACACCTCAATGGGTTCTGAACCATTAATACGACAATCAAATTTAACTGGCTGCCCAAGTGTGACCTCCAGATCCTTCATTTTCCTAGCAAATGAAGGTGCAAGTTGACGGTCTGCAAAAAAAAAAAGTATTTAAGGAAAAGGTGTCCCCCTCAACTAGGGATAAGAGGTAAATGTGTCAATTTCATAAGAAAAAAAATCACCTTGAACTGTAAATATTGCCTTGGAAGAAACAGATCCTACAGAGTTTTCTGCTTTGCAAATATATTCTCCACTATCATTTTTGTCAACTTTGCTGAAAGCAAGAGTAGCTACATTGTTTGAAAAGTACACTTTGCAACCTGGAGTTGACCTGAGTTTTGTATCTCCTTTGTACCAAGAAACCACAATTTCTGGAGTGCCACCAACTTGACATTGCAAAGATGTTGAGTCACCAACTGTCACTTCCACATCTTCAATACTTGTAATAAAGTATGGTGGTTCTATATAAAAAAAATAAAATTCAAGTAACAATAATGTTACCCAACCTTAAGAAACGTCAGTAAAATTATACAGCAAAAAATCACAAACACAAACCTAGAATGGTGACCATAGATTGACAAATATCCTGCCCAGCTTCATTTTCAACCCGGCAAGTATATTCCCCATCATCTTCTTTGGAGCCACTTAATATTTCCAGGATGCAAGATTTTTCTGTTGTTGTTAAGTTACATCTTTCGGTTTGTACTATCTCTACACCATTCCTTTCCCAAGTAACATAAATGGGAGGTGTGCCATTGTATGTGCTCTCCAAAATAAATGGTTGACCAGTTTCTACATTGTAGTCTTTAATTTTCTTCACAAAGGTAGCAGGCTCTGATTCAAGAATACACAAAAGCATTAGCACGGCTTTTGAAAATCAAGTGGCTAAAGGGAATAAGTGTAGTTGAAAAGAAAAAGTTACCTTTTACAAACAGTGTGGTCGTACATGAATCCTTTCCAGCATCATTAGAAACCACACATGTGTAGTCCCCACTATGGGTAGTGTTCACTTCATATAATTCCAAGATGGCAGCTGAATCTTTTAACGTTAAAAGACATGCAGTTCCAGAAATCAGTTCACTGCTTCCCTTAAACCAGTGTACCTTAAAAGGAGGTGTTCCCCTAATAACACTTCTAAAAGAGGCATTCGTTCCTGGTAAGACTTCTAGTGGTTCGGGCTTTGTCACAATGGAAGGTGGTTCTGAAGAATTACAACACATACCATAAGATTTAAAACAATAAGAATAAGAATTTGTTCACTGCAGCGCATCTTTAGACTAAAGATCCTTTGCTTTACAATTTTAATAGAGAAAGAAAACAAAATAGCAAAAATAGGATAACTATTAAGAAGTAAAGAAGATTACCCCGTCCCTGTAACTGAGCAGTATTACTGACCTTGGACAGTTAGAGTAGCACTGCACTCATCAGTCCCAGCAATGTTTGCTGCTACACAAGTATAGCTTCCAGCATCTGACGATTCCAAGTAATTAATTTTTAAAACACAAAGACTATCAGAAAATTCAGGCTCATATTTGTCTCCACTGAAGATCTTGCTTCCATTGTGAAGCCAAGTAATAGAGATAGGCAGTGATCCAGCGATTTTGCATTCCATTTGAACAGATGAACCTACTGCTGCAGTGGTTTCTTTCAATTTTTTGGTGAAAGAAGGAGGTAATACACGATCTAATCAACAAAAGGCAAAAGCAAATTAATGTTTTATAAAAGAGCTACTAAAAATATTATTATTATTAATTTGGGTAAAGCTCGGAAGATATAACAACTAACCAAGAACATCAACTGTTGCAGTACAGGTGCTTTTTCCAACATTGTTTTTCACTTCAAAGGTATATTCTCCACTGTCATTTTTGTCTGCAGAGAGGATTTTAATAGAGGCTACCTTATTGGATAGACTGATCTTATATTTCTGACTGCTGGTCAGTTCCTTGCCATCTTTGAACCAGCTGGCTGAAAGTTCTGGTGTGCCTGCCACTATGCATTCTATTATGCAGACATCACCTGCAGTAACTCTCACAGGGTCTGGCTTTTCTACTATTATTGCAGGCTCTGAAATAAAACAAAATAATACATGATGATTTTTTTTTAACTGATTTAACATGTATAACAAGTAAACTCGATTCTGCTGCCTTTCTTTTCATAGTTACCTAAAACAGACACGTTTGCTATACACTCCCTCATTCCAGCATCATTTTTAATCTGACATATATATTTTCCAGCATTAGCTGCTTCAGCCTTTCTAATCTGAAGAGTTGCAAGGTTTTCAAAGTGAGAAATCTTAATGTTTTCACTCTCCCTCACGACTTCCTCCTTGTCCTTCAGCCAAAGAACCGAAATAGGTTGTGAGCCCTCGATCAGTCCTTGTAATTCAAGAGGTTCACCCAAGATAACAGTTATGCTTTCAACTTTCTTCACAAATTTTGGTGGCTCTGAACAGAAAAATGCAAAGCAAAGATGAATAAAGAATGGTGTGTGAACAAATTGTCTTTGATATCAGTGAGGAGTTGAAGAGTTACCTTTAAGTTTTATATTACAAATGCAAGTATCACTTCCAACATCGTTGGAGGCCTTACAGTGATAGTCTCCAATATCTGGGGCCTCAACATTAAGAATGTGAACAGAAGCAACAAGATTTTTAGAAGTTACTTTGTACTTTTTACTGCTTCTAATTTGTCTGCGATCTTTGAACCAAGTCACTTCAAAAGGTGGTGTTCCCACGAGTTCACATTCAAGACTAACATCCACGCCTTTTAAGACTTCCGTTGGACTAGGCTTCTTGCTAAAGACAGGAGGCTCTATAAAAATAATGAACATAAATTACTAAATCGTGTCTAACTTTATCTAGTTTATAATGTGCATGCTGATGTTTTACTTTATATTTTTACCTATTGTACCTATACAAATCTATAAATAGAAGATATATTACAGTTAATTATCAGGGGCATGTTTATAAAGCAGTGAATCTGACATTGAGCAAACGTTCCCTGCTGGAGAATCCTCTAGGTCTTTGTGTTTTAAATGACAGTGATTGATTCTCCACTAGAGCATGTTTGAGGAAAGCCACAATCACTGCTTTATAAATAGACCCCTAGTTCACATATATGTGGATTGGATGCGGTTTGAACCACATCCAATCCGCATGACATGTGAAGTAACATTGCTTCCTATGCCTGTTCACATGTATCCGATGCACTGGCAGTGTAGATTCAGTGTGAATGAAAAAAGAGTCTTGTCTGATTTCTGAGCAGTGCGGTCCATATCAGGTGTGGATTACAGGCTATTGACTTCTATGGGAACAGCCTATAAATTGCACATGTTGTCAGGTATGAACAGGATTTCAGTTCAGGATCAGAATTTCAGTTCAGGATCAGGACCTCTCTACCTCAGAAAAAAAAACAAAAAAGCCTTTCAAAACTGCATCCAAACTAACCCTGAACCTGTGAACATTACAATCTACAGCTATGTCACAAAAACTGGTCCTGAACCAGCCCTGAACTGCTGAAAAAGCAGATTGCAATCCTCACTGAAACTGGACCTTGAAATCCAGAGCACACGTGTGAATTGGCACTAAGTGTTAGTTTATAAATGTTTTCACACAATTACATAGTTACATAGTTAGTCTGGCTGAAAAAAGACAAACGTCTATCCAGTTCAACCAAAAAAAAAAGTTATAATCCTATACTCAAAGTTGATCCAGAGGAAGGCAAAAAACCCAGCAAAGCAAGATTCAATTTGTTCCTGCAGGGGGAAAAATTCCTTCCTGATCCCCCAAGAGGAAATCGGATATTCCCTGGATCAACTTTACCCATAAATGTTAGTATCCAGCTATATTCTGTGTATCTATATTCACACAACTTGCACCCAGGATTTACACATTTTCTGATTCAAATCCAACTATGAAAATGGGCAAATCTTGTGTAAAAACATTTATAAACAGAAGTTTACAACTGATTTTAAACTTGTAATTATGTCCCTATAATAGGCAAACTGTAGGAATTACATTTTTATTAGCTTTATGTGTCAGTGTAACACTTTAAACACTTTAAGCTGCTCTTTCCACCATGCCAAAATGTTATCAATATACATTTCTTTAAAATAGACTTCTCAACAGATCCTAACTTTCTCTAAAGAAAATATTACTATAACTAAGGTGGGGTTTATATACTTTATAATTTATAATCCCTAACATGCTATATAGAGTATTCTACAAATATCCAACAATGAAGGGCTCATTCACACTATCTGTGTTGACCTGCGTTTTCCTGTACTGGAAAAACACAGGTCACTGCTAGGGTACATAAAAAACATCCTGGATGGCCCTGTATGTCACTGCACAGCACAGTGCTGCTGTGGAGGCACAGTAAGTGCACTTTATGACACTTTGAAGACAGTTAAAAATGCAGACACTGACATTGACACTAGCCTGGATGGTCAAATGCTGCATTTTACCATGTAGGCTAGTGTGAACTTATCCTTAAAGAGTAGCTCCACTTTTGTTGAGAAAAAAAAATAACCCCCTCTTGGCAATCTATGTGCATTGCAGGGATTTTAACAAATCTTGTTGCATATTCCTGCCTTTTGTTATTCTGAAGAAATAGCTGTTTGATTGTTTGTCTGTGTACATGTGCAAAATGAGAATGAATGGGAGTGATTTTATAATCTGCTACTGTATGTGCAGGGTTCTAATGAGAAAAGTGTCAGAGTCTGCATCACTTTAGATGTGATTTCCCTTTGGGATTATCTCACCAAAAATTAAATTTTTGTTGCAGGGGATGCCTAAAATCTGACTTGTATATTAGTGCAGACTTCTGGGAAAATCAGTTAGCCAATCACACAAGCAGGAACTGACATTTCTGAGGGGCGTTCCTTTCACATTCTGTGTACAGAACGCCTCCAGGTTGCCATATTGCATTGCATTTAATGGAAAATTACAGTGCTGCAGACTGAAAAATAATTTTTTAAGGTAATTTTTAATAATATTCAATTACAATGTGATTTGTGTATACTATATTTAATGTTTTTATTTGCTAATTTTTCCATTGAAAGTGAAGTTACCCTTTAAAGCTGAACTCTATTCAGATATCAAAATATCAAGTAATGTAGTCAATTATTACATTAAAAGGGCACTGTAAATGTAACTAAATGTAAGCACCTGACTTTGTGTTTATATTTGCCTCCCTTGTTGCCCAGCACAGGGATGGCCTGCACTGGCAGCCAGTCTGACACTGTTGTAGGGCATGTGTGTTGACAGGGAATGAGCATACAAGAGGAGGGAGCAGAATGAGTTGAAGGAATACTTCTTTTGGTACTTATCAGTATAGGAGTGTACACTGGGACAAATTGTGCTCTGTTCTATAGCAGAAGTATCTAGATCACAAAATTGTCAGATTGGAATTACAAATCTTTAGGCAGGCTAAATAATTTTTTGGCATGCATGTGTTTTTAACTGTATATTTATCTGCTTGCCTACGGTTTAGCTTTGACATTATGAAACTATGATTGGATTCAAACATTGATTTGTTTTTCAGTTTTGGATAAAGTGGGTAAAGTTTTGGACCGTCATCAAGTTTTATTTTTGTCCTTGATCCCTCTGGTGAGATTCCCCCTTTCTGTCCTCGTAGGACAGAAACTACAGTAATGTGTGTCGTCCACAGAAGCAGTAAAAACATACACAACACAGGCTCTAACCCATCAGCTCTTAATTGCCAGTAGGCTCAGTTTTTTTTAAGAAGAAAGTTTGTATATCTCTTCTGACAAAAAACTTTTTTGGTAAATGAATATAGCCTGCCGAGCAGTTCAGTGTTCACTCTCAGGATTTTTGGAGTCTAGTGTCAGGATGCAGGTGCTTGCATTGCATCATTGACAGGTATACCATGGCTAAAGAAGTAAGAAGCCAACAGTAGAAGAAGCTTCAGTGAAGTTTGCATTAATAGCTGTGGAGTAGCGAGGGAGAGTATGGAGCTCTCATGACTGGCACATGGAAAACTCAGAGATAAATGTGTTATAACGTGCAAGCCTGTCAAGCACACCTTTCCCTCAGCCCTCATTTCTGCTTAAGAGGGGAATGCAGGAAAAGGCATTTGAATCTGCTTCTTGTTTGAACAGAAACTTCGTACTTAAATTATAAACATGTATGTGTGCCATATGTTTGGGCGAAGTTAGCAAATCTTAATTGTGTGCCATCTCACTTGCAATGACTAGCTTGGAAATAGCAAATTAAATATGAGTGATTTCACAGTAAACTAATTTTTTTGAAAGCCCATTCAATTAATCTTTTGTTATGCATTAACAAGCATTGGATTAAGACTGCCCATTGAAATGGACTTCTGAAGCACAAAATTATCCCAATTATCAGACAAGTCACAAAAAGCACTATGGTGCAACACGTGTTGTCCTAGTGCATTGGGGTGCTATTTCAAATGCATGGCACCACAATGCGTCAATTAATGTAACATGCATTGCGGTAACATGTGATTTGCCACAACACATGGATGTAAATCAGCCCTAAGTGAGAATAAACACTAAGTATTCTGCATGCACAGCATAAGTCATGTTGGTGAGTCCATAACTCTAAAAGTCAGCTGAGCATACTTTGGAAGGCATTTCTGACCTTTGACTACAATCTTGATACTGGAGCTGGCACTGCCAGCATCATTGTTGGCTTCACAGGTGTAGTCTCCACTATCTTCAATGCTGAGGTTGCTGATTTCAAGAACTGGTATAAAGTCAATGAAAGACATGGTGTACTTCTCATTTGCCTTAATTTCACTGTCGTTTTTTGTACCAGGTGATTTTGATCTCTGGGGATCCACTGATCTTGCACTCACAGCGGACAGAATCACCTTGTTTGGTTACTTTTGTTGACTCTAACTTCTTGATAAACTTTGGTGGTTCTATAAAACCAAAGGGGAAAAGAGATAATTAGAATTTAATTAATCAACAATGGTAATTGGAGGACAAACCTGAAGAAGAGGTGGTTACAGATGTGTAGTGCTACACAATCATCAGTCTCAAGAGTAAACAAAACACTTAAACATTTAGTAAGACAAACATACAGATGACAAAATTAAAGCAAATCCTCGCACCTGGTACAACCAACATTGCACTACAAGTGTCGCTACCAACATCATTGGTAACTTGGCATGTATAGCGTCCAGTGCTTGAACCATCCACTGTGAAAAGATTTAAGAAACCTATTGACCCTTCCATTCCAAGGAAACATTTAGGTCCAGAAAAGAGTTCCACATCTTCTTTGAACCATTTAATTGCGAATGGTGGTGTTCCTTTTACTTCAACTTTGAAATCCACCAAAGAATCGGGTATTGCCTTTTGACTCTCAGGTTTTAAAATGAAGCTCGGAGGTTCTATGGTGTTGGAAAAAGAGTGTTTCAGTATTTTTGATTTTACATTTTCTTGAAATAATTGATCTTTAGAAAGTTGTGTTTACACCACTGCACACCATATTCTATTTGCAAAAGCCCATATTTTAAGATTGTTATTATTCAAAACTGACAAGATTGTAAAAGAGAATTAAATAAAAAAAGAATAAATCACTTCAAACCTTTTACAGTCAAGATGGCGGTACATTCAGCAGTTCCTGCCACGTTCATTACTTTGCACTTGTAGTTGCCACTATCAGACACATCTATGTCAGCAATGGTCAAAGATACTGCATTTTCATGGGAAACCAGCCTGTGCTTTGCGCTGTGCAAAATTTCACTCCCATCTTTGAACCATTGTGCATTTATGGGCAATGAACCAGCAACTTTGCATTCCATTTGAATGGAGGATCCAAGAACCTTATCCATTTTTGTTAACTTTTTTGTAAAAGATGGAGGAATAGCTTGATCTGTCCAATAAAAAATATAGCCAGTTATTTATCTACCCTGGCTAATTGAATACTTTTTGGCAAGTGCTAAAAAAGAATATTAAAATACAAACCTAGAACAGTTACAAAAGCTGTACAACTACTGGTTCCAAAGTCGTTTTCAACCTTAAAGATATATTCTCCACTATCCTCCTTGCTTGCAGACTGAATCCTCAAGCTGGATACGTTATCCTCAAAGCTTAGGGTATAAAATCTGCTTGGCATAATCTGTCTGCCTTCTTTGTACCACTTGACTTGGAGATCTGGTGTCCCAGCCACGGTACAATACAAAGTCACTGGATCTCTTTCAGTTACATTTACTGATTTGGGTCTCTCGACTATCTGTGCAGGCTCTGTGTTACAAATTAAATGCAAAATTATATAAATAAAAAGGATTCATTTTATCATTTCAATAACTAAGTAAAGTAAAATTTGATATTTAATAGCCTAGCACAAACCTTGAGCTATAAGAGAGGCAAAACATTTTTCTGTCCCTGATTCATTGGAAGCTTGGCAAATATATCTACCAGTATGACTGGCATCAACAGTCCTGATATAGAGAGTAGCAATGTTGTTCTCAAAGGTAATTTGGGTATTTTCATCTTGCTCTACAACTTTATCTCCTTTTATCCAGGACACTGTTATAGGGTCAGAACCTGCTATAGCACTTTGAAAAACAGCAGAGCTTCCAAGGATTGTGGTCGAATTTTCTATCTTCTTGACAAAGGATGGGGGATCTAAATAAGACAAATCCATTAAAAATGTGGTTCAAACATGTTCTCTAGTTACAGAGAAATAGAGAAGAATCGATGGTATTTTTTGCAACTAACCTTTCAAATGTACTGAGGCACTGCAATAACAGCCTCCAGCTTCATTTGATATTGCACACTGGTATTCACCAGCATCTGAATAGTCAACATTAAAAATGTGCAGCTCAAATACTGATTCCTTTTGAACCAATGAGTACTTTTTACCACTCCGAATCTCCTTTTTGTTCTTTGAAAAAGTTACATCGAACGGTGGCGTGCCCAGAACTTCACAAAATAACTTCACATCAGAAGCTTTTACTACTTCAATTGGCTCAAATACGGTTTTAAAAGTGGGGGCCTCTAGAATTTAACAAATAGAGTGGCTTATTAAAAATTAGAAAACATATAAAGTGACAATAAAAGTATTAAATGTAGAAGGACTAATAACTAACCTTTTACTTTAACATCAATGCTGCAGCTCTCACTACCTGCCTCATTGGTGGCCTCACAAACATATATTCCAGTGTCTTCAATAGTGGAATTGATAATATCAAGAGTAGCTATTCCATCTACAAATGAAATACTGTATCTGCCACTTGTCATTATGTCATTTCCATCCAAGTACCAAGTAACCTTGATTTCAGGTGTGCCAGTGATTTGACAGTGGAAAGTTGTTGACTCTCCTTTCCTTAACAACAAGATTGGGCTTGGCTTCTTAACAAACAGGGGGGGCTCTAAATATAGACAAAATATTTATCTCAATAACATTCTAAAATAAGATGAACTAGGCTTAGGTATGATAGAAAAGAAAGCAAACCTTTAACAAAAAGTGTTGTTTTACAAGTTGCTGTGCCAACATCATTGCTAACTTGAACTGTGTAATTTCCAGAATCAGCAACTTTAGCTGATAACAGTTCAAGGATACTTGAAGATTCATCTTTCCAAACTGATCGATTTGCTCCTGAAAGGAGTTCCTTGCTATCCTTAAACCATTTGATTACCATTGGAGTGGTGCCATTCAAGACAGTCTTAAACTGAACTCTAGACCCTGGTAGAGTGTCTTGTGACTGAGGCTTTTCAATAAAATATGGAGGTTCTAAAATAAGTAAATAAGAAATTGTTAAACAAATGTTTAGCTAAATTTGTTTAAAAAGGGGCTCTGTCTGAAATGAAATAATAAGGAATGCAAACCTTTCACAGTTAAATATCCACTGCATTGATTCTTTCCTGCCTTATTTGTGGCAATGCATATGTAGGTCCCACTGTCCTTTCCTTCTAATTCATTGATCTCCATGAATGCTATGTTATCGTGGAAGGAATATTTGTGCTTTCCACTAGGTTGAATTTCTTTGTCATCCTTTAACCATTTCACAGTTATTGGATGTGAGCCAGAAACTATACATTCAAGATTAACAAAAGACCCTTTCACACTGTCCATTTTTTTCAGTTTCTTTGTAAATGATGGTGGGATTATTAGATCTATTTAACACAGAAGAAATAAACACCAAGTTAATCGCAAATTAAATGTGTTTAAAGGGACAAAAATATATATATAATGAAGGAAAAATATATCTCAGTACTAACCTAATACATTGACAGAAGCTGTGCAAGAGCTCCTACCAACATCATTCTGTACCTCAAATGTATACTCTCCACTATCATTTTTGTCCGCTGAAACAATTTTCAAGACGGATACATTCTCAGTAAAACTAATTTTATATTTTGGACCAAATTTTAGCTCTTTTCCATCTTTGAACCATTTGGCTGTGATTTCTTTAGTACCAGAATATTTACATTGCAGTGTTGCAGGGTCACCTTCTGTGACATCAACAGAGACAGCCTTCTCAATAATTGTGGCAGGTTCTGTTGTTAAAGAAGAACAAGTTAGTTAAGAACTTGTTTACAGTTTTATGGCTTTTTATTTAAGTTTTTAAAAGCAGAGAATTAAGAGGACCAACCTTTAACTGCCAGCACCGCAGAGCATCGTTGAACGCCTGCATCATTTTTGGCTTCACATGTATACTTGCCACCAAGGTTGCTTTTAACAGAAGTTATGTGTAGTGTAGCTACATTGTTTTTAAATATTGCTTTGATGTTTTCATCTTCCATAACTTCATCATTGTCTTTCCACCATGATATGGAGATGGGCTGTGACCCTTTAACAGAACATTGGAAGGCAACCATTCCTCCAATGAGGGAACTAAGATTTTCAATTTTCCTTGTAAAAGTAGGGGGTTCTGACAGATAGATGAAGAGTTGTAAGAAATAATTTATAACTAAGTTAAATTTTTAAAACAGAATTTCTTATTTAATTTTTGGGTGCTACTAACCTTTTAGAGTCACAAGTGAACTACACAGACAGCTTCCAACGTCATTAAACACCCTACATTGGAATTCTCCAGTATCCATGGAGTCAAACCTTAGAATGTTGAGGCTTAGTAAATTGTCCTGGAAAAAGGTTTTGTACTTCCTACCACTCCGAATAGGTTTGTTGTCCTTGAACCATGAAACCTCAAATGGAGATGAGCCTATCAATGAGCCTTCCAAAGTAACATCTGAATCTCTCAGTACTTCAATATTTTGAAACTCTTTTACAAAAGATGGAGGTTCTGTATTTTAAGAGAAATGCCTTTCAGTAAATAAAATGCTTTAACAATATAGAAATAAGAGTATTGAAAAGAAGAGAAAAGAAGAAGCATTGCCTTTAACACACCTTTAACTATGACAGCACAGCTGCATGTATCTGTACCAGCCTCATTTTTAGCTTGGCATACATATTCGCCGATGTCTTCAAGACTTATACTATAAATTCTAAGAGCTGCTACAGAGTTCAGGAATGACACACTGCAAGCATCACTTTCTCTAATTTCCTTGTCGTTTTTAAACCAGGTAATGCTAATAGTTGGTGTTCCAGCTATTTTACATTCAAGTTGTACAGCATCGCCCTTTTTGAAAAGCTGTGAAGGTTCTAGCTTCTCAACAAATGTTGCTGGCTCTGTGGAATTTAAAAAGAGTTAAAAAAGAGAATCTTGTGGTGAAGAGAGTAAAAGAAGGTATGCATAGCTGTAAAAGCAAAGAAGAAGTCAAACCTTTCACAAATAAGTTTGCACTGCATTCCACAGCGCCAGCCATGTTGCTGACTTTGCAGACATAGTTTCCAGATTCCGATGTTTTAACTGCATAGAGTTCCAAAGAGCTGCTGGTGTTCTCTTTAGCAATGTAGCAAGAACCTCCAGTTTTAAGTTCATCCACACCTTTAAACCATCTTATAGACAAAGGTGGTGTTCCCTTAAAAGTGGTCTTCAGACACACAGTTGATCCTGGCAGGGTATCTTGTGAATCTGGTTTGGTTAGAAAGCTTGGAGGTTCTAAATGTATGAAGAACAGACATTGTAAAAATAAAAACCTTAAAGAAGCATTAAGGAGTATTGAAATTAAAGGAAGCAGGAAAAGGCATGTGAACCAAACCTTTAACAGAAAGAGTTCCTTTGGATTCCTTGCTTCCTGCTGAATTTGTTGCGTTACAAGTATAAATTCCAGCATCACTCAGTTCTAGTCGACTTAGATCCAAAGAGGCAGTACCTTCCACAAATGATATCTTATACTTGTCTGGAGTAAGTTCTTCCCCATTTTTAAACCATGCAACTTTCATGGGCAAAGAACCAGACACTTTGCACTCCAATCGACATGGTACATTTATTACACTGTCAATATCTCGCAATGCTTTAGTAAAAGATGGGGCAATGGTTCGATCTGTTTATGATAGAAATATATAGGTTTATTGGCAATTGTTCAACATATTGAAAACTATGCCAACTGTACTAATTCTAATTTTAAGAACTAATCATCATACTAACCTAATACTGTAAACGTGATCTTGCAGCTGCTACTGCCGACATCATTGGACACCTCAAATGAATATTCTCCACTGTCCTGAATTTCAGCAGAATAGAATTTTAAGGAGGCAACATTATTTTTAAAACTGATTCTATACTTTTTGCCAGAGGTTATCTCCTTCCCTTGCCTTAGCCATTTAACTTTAAGTTCAGGTGTACCAGATACGGTGCAATCCAAAGTGGCAGGATCTCCCGCAGTCACTTGGATTAATTCAGCTTTTTCGACTATGGTGGCTGGTTCTAAAATAAAGTTAGATATTGTCAGAAACAAGTTTTAGATTACTGGTTATAGTTGATGTGAAAGATATAGAAGAAGAATCACTAACTGACCTTTTACCAACAATTCTCCAAAACAACTTTGGCTTCCTGCTTCATTTTCAGCCACACAAGTGTATTTTCCAGCACTGTTAATTTGCACGCTGCTGATATGGAGAGTGGCAATGCTATTGTCAAATGTGACTTTGACTTTGTTATCTTCTCTGACAACATCTCTTCCTTTCATCCAAGTTACCGTAATGACCTCAGAGCCTTTTACAATGGCTTGCAGAGAAACATTGTTTCCAACTATAGCAGTGACATTTTCAATCTTCTTCACAAATGATGGTGGTTCTAGTTTGGAAGATAGCAGTAAATCTGAGAATTTCTTAATTTTAAATAACTGCTATGGTCAAATACATACTAGTACTAGTATATTGTTGTTAAAATGTTAGTACTAGTTTTATTTTTTGACCGCCAGAGCACAGCTCACCAATTAGAGATGTAAGTCTGTTCTCTTATTCAGTTAATGTTTGTACATCTAAAGAGTTATTGGAATGCTAAGTATTAAAAAAATGCCCAATGCAGAAGTGAAATGTAAAATCTCAACTCCATCTAAAGCTTTCTGCTTTTTTGGATAGCGTGGGAAGGGTTAATCTTTTTCTTTTTTTTTAGTAGCATTTAGTGCTGCAGCAACAAGATGTAAGATATGATAAACCAACAAAGCAATAACCAACATAGGACACCAGCACACCTTTGTTTTTCATTTATGAGACTTTACTGACATACTTTATAAGTATGTAAGTAAAATATCAACACAAGGTTTTAGGACAAAAGTTTTTCTTTGCATTTTTACTAATTATATGCATTCAAATCAGTAAAGACACAAAGAATAAAGATGTGCTGATGGCATACATTTCAGCTGGTTGGGAAGAGTCCACCTAACTTTCTGCACCAATAAAAGCCTGAAAAAGGATTTAATGAGTGAAAGCCTCATGCATGTGATAAAACAGATCCCATGCAGGAGCAGTGATGTCCCTGAGCAAGAGGTGATGATATATCAGTCATTAGACTGTTCTTAATATATTTTGCTTATCAAAGGTTCTGAAAGAGCAACAATTATGAATGTATTAGCTAAGTATGGACAGCAGCAACCCAAAGTTCTTCTTATATTAAAGTTTTCCAGGACTAGGCAGATTTCATTCCTTGAGCTTACAAACTTGACCTATATTTTGACTGAATATATTTGTGCATTAATGTTTTTTATGTATAGGCCAGAGGTCGGAGTTAGGGCACGGAAAAAAAGTAATTTTAATTCTAGTGTTCAATTTATCCATATAATGCATCTTCATGATGTCACTTCTCAAGTGGTAGATCTCCAGCTACGCATTAGCCACAGACGGTAAGATAAGAGATATTAATAGTTAAAGATAATGAAGGTATGAATTGGTCATTGAAGAGGTATTTAGGTGTTAGAAACCAAAAGAAATCATCTTTTTCTAAAAGAAGAAGAGGAAAAGCTATACTAGCCCAATACTAACCTTTAAGCCTGTATGATGCACTGCAGTTGCACTTTCCCACTTCGTTGGCAACAACACACTCATATTCACCAACATCTGCACTATTAAATGAGGAGATTTCCAGACAAACAAAAGACTTTTGATATATGAGCCTGTACTTTTTGCTACTTCGTATCTGTTTCTTATCTTTGTACCAGCTAATTTCAAAAGGTCCAGTACCAGATACTTCACATTGAAGAGTAGTATTTGATCCTTTTACTATTTCTGCTGGTTCAAGTGTTTTGATGAAAGAAGGAGGCTCTAAAAGAGTATTAAATTATCAAAAGATTATTACAGAAAGAGGATACATTCATGAATATTATTTACCCCCTATGAAGAATCAACAAACAAACCTTTAACAATAATTTCAGAAGTGCAGCTTTCGCAGCCAGCATCATTGAGAGCTTCACAAGTGTAACTTCCGCTATCATCAACTTTCATGTTTGTGATATCTAATACAGCATTTGAGTTGTCGAAAGTCATCCTAAACATTTCACTTGGTGTAATAGCTGTGTTGTTCTTGTACCAAGTGACATGGATATCAGGTGAACCCTTAATTTTGCATTGTAAATGTGCTGACTCTCCCTGTCTTAACAAATAAGAGGGTTCCACCTTCTTCACAAAAGATGGTGGTTCTATAGAAAAAAGAAACATTACAAATAGAATAAGCTGAAATAGGAGAAAGAACTTTCTTGTTAACAGGTATTATGAAGAAGAAGAAAAAGAAGAAGAAGGTGATTTGTTGGATCTTGCCAAGTTCAGCCATTCGGCCCATAATTTTGCTCAGCCATATACAACATTCACACTTGCTTGAATCATATTCGATAAACCTCATTCAGTCATACATACATACATACCAAAATTGTATTGCAGACAAGACAAGTACAAGACAGTTTACAATGAGTTTATACTAACCTTATATATGATATGTTAAAAGAACTCCTATAGAAAAAGATAGCTATACTATTTCCTTTGGTGGTATACTTTTAAAGCTGTGTTGTGGTAGGTATGTGTAAATGTATTGTATTTTTCTTACCTCGTATTGTAACAACTGAAGAAGAGGAGTTGCTTCCTGCATCATTTGTTGCAGTGCACACACATAATTTCCAGAATCCTTTATCTTTGCCACTGGTATTTCAAGAGAAGCCACTTTGTCTTCAAAATAGATTTTATAATCCTTCCCTGGAAGGAGTTTGTGGCCATCTTTTGTCCAGGCTACTGTCACTTTTCTGTCTTCGTCTACTTGGCACTCAAGGCGAATAGTTTTGTTCACAGCAGAACGCAAAGGTTCCAGTTCTTTAATGAAGTGTGGCTTGTCGATAACTATCAGTTCTGCCTGGCAGGTGTCTGTTCCAAACTTGTTAGATGCTTTGCAAGAATAGATGCCTTTGTCAGTCGTGGTAAGATTCAAGAGCTCTAGAACATGTTTGTTGTTTGCGGCTGAGACAAGAATGTTCTCTGAAGAGGAGATGGGAAGTCCATCTTTCTGCCATATTGTATCAATAACTGGTGTACCTGACACTGTTGATTGGAACTTAGCTTTTTTACTCACAAAAGAGGTAACAGACTCTGGTCTAGTTATAAAAGATGGAGGGAGTCTATTGTGATAAAAAGAAAAAAATGTATGCCCCCCCCCTCCCCCCCCCCCCCCCCCACACCCCCACACCCACCCTCCCCCACCACACACCAAAAGTTTTTTTTAAGTAGTCTATTAAAGAGAAAAACCACTGGAAGAATAGCAAAAGACTGAGACTCAGGAAAAGGATGGTGTTTATCTACCCGAAGAAACTTTTTCCCAAAATATAAATAGCATTCACTTACCATTATTGTCATGAATGTTCCACATGAATCAAATACACGCTTGTAAGAAAACATATGGGTGTAAATTTATGTGTGTCTTCTGCATGTTACTGATATTTACTCACCAGTCACAGTTAAGGTTGCAGTAGTGCTTATGCTACCAAACTGATTGGAAGCTTTGCAGGTGTATTCACCACAGTCAACAACCTGTGGTCTAAGAACTTCAAGATTTGAAATGTAGTTTGATGTCTTCACAGAGTATTTGTCACTCTCATAGAGTTCACGTCCAGACTTGAACCACTGGAATCTAACATTGGGTGCAGGTTCTGTCTCACAGGTGAAAAATGCAGAATGGCCAATGGCTGCTTCTACAGACTCGAGCCTCCTCTTCAGCACAGGAGCTACAACAAGGGAGAAGAAAAAAAACTAAGTATTTTCTTAGAAGAAATTATACATTTAAAATAAAACTTTACTTGAACGTGGAGTGCTTATTTCAGGAATAGTGAAGTAAAAATGGCTGTGTGAAAGGAAATTGTTAGCAGTTTACATCAGATTACATGGTAGCACCAGTTCAAAGAAGTGATATCAAATTCTACTGTAAAATGGTGTGAACATGCACAAGAAATGTGGCTTATCAAAAGGAAACAAGTCAGCTGAAAGTGAAAAGTCATTTATTTATTAGCCCTGCAAGTGATAACTAATACAAGTTTAAAAAAATTAAACAAATAATCTAAAATTACAGCATGCATGTACCTATTTAAAATGAGGCTGGGAAATGAAAAAGGTAGAGAATTAAACTGTCACAGTGAAAGTGAAAAGTGCCAATAATGTAATTGAATGGTTTTGTACATATGGGGATGGATAAAAGAAAATAAGCAAATAGTACTGACTGTGACTGTGACTGTATAGTTATCAAAGGTCTCTATAGCTCAGGTTTAGATGGAAATTTCTTTTTATCAATATCTACAGAAATTTGATGAGAGAAGTGTCAGTCATTTTGAAATAAAAAGCCTGTTTTATTTGTAGCATAAATCTTGGTTCACACTACTGCGGTCTGAAAGTTGCGCCGACATACAGTGCAATTTTGCCAGGCGACTTGAGTACTACTTTGAAGTGACTTTGAAGTGACTTTCAGGAAATGCCTGGGTAATCTTCCTGTAATATTGGAACCAAATCACATCAATATAGATGAGGATCCGACTTTGAGGCAACGTCCATTTAAGTCTATGGGCACAAGTCAGATAGAAGTAGTCTTGAAGTAGTACAGGAACCTTTTCTAAAGTTGGAGCGACTCCAGTAAAGCTAATTAAGATAGCTCTCATTGACTAACATGGGATTTCACATGTCAGGCGACTTGGGGTCTCACAAGTCAGATCCCAAGTCATGGCAGTGTGAACCGAGCCTAAAGAATTATTTTGATGTTTCAGCCATTAGGGATACAGTAAAAAAACCCAAAAACCTTTGATAAGCACAAGTCAGTTGAACATATGCATACAAAAAATGACACAATGTTTGCTGTACCTGTTAAAAGACAAGTTAGTACATAAAAGAATGTCCTCCACAGCAAATGTGTCTAAATTTATTATGAGGCAAAGTGAAGCTAAGTGTAGTGATATAAAAATGTGCTCTTTTCAAAATCCAGTCATGCACAGGGGATTATTTTGTTCTTTATCTCCAATTTAACATAACTTTGCTGCTTAAAAGAGAAACATGCAATAAAATGTTCAGAATTACTTGCCTCTCTGATGGGCAGCAAATCTAAACTCAGCTGTCTTCAAAGGCAGAATTTTCAGCATTTAACTTTTCTGAAAGTGTTGGATGCCTGCATCCCTGGCCAAGCACTGTGGTTCTGTCTGCTGGCACTATGTCACTACAGGACACAGTAATAATGTAGGGGCTGGCTGGATAACAGCACGGGACCAGGCATCTGATATGCATGGAATTAAGTTGAATGGCAAGATTCTGCCAGAGGTTGTAGTACTTGAAGACAGCTGAGTTCAGACTCTCTGACTGCTGGAGAGGAAAGTATTCAGAGGATTGATTTGCAAGTGGCTTCTAATGACAGATTTGCAGCAAAGTAGCAAGCCTAAACATACTTGCAACTTTGAAATATTTGATGATTCAAGTTTCAATTTTTTAAACTTTCTAGCTCACTTAGGCATTCCCCTTTTATAATAAAACAACTAAGCTATAGATTTAATGGGATGGCTTGTGATTAAAAGAGCAGATTGAAAATGTTAATGTTATGCTAATAAATAATGGTTATGCATTGACTATTTACATGAGGTGTTAGTCTAATAAAAAGTGTCATTAGATCCATCCTATAGCATAGGAAAAGGCAACTTTCTAAATTTCAATTGGTGGAACAAATTTCGATAATTTTTTTTATTGGCGTGATAAAGAATTCAACATGTTATGAGTTGTCAGGTTGCCTTCTCCTGCCTTAAAACACTGCATTGTGGTTTTGTTGTTAGCAGAAATGTGTTACATTACTATCCCCACTATCCAACCTCGTTTAACAACTGTAAGTTGAGCTGATGTTGTTGATTTGCCAGCGTCATTCAAAGCCACACAGGTATATTCTCCTTGATGTAAATCCATTTGTACTTTGCTGATTACTAAAGTATAGGTATCATTATGTTGTGAACACCTGAGCTCTATGCCTGAAGACAATAGTCTATCATTAAAGTACCAATTAACAATCTTAGCACTGTTTTATAACTGTGTTGAAGGTAACACAGTCCCCTTCATTAGCCATATAATCTAATAAATGTTGCCTAATTAATGGAGTAGAAGATTCTTTTAAGAGATCATCTTCATATATTTCTTCCCGTGTCTCTCTCTTCTTCATTATCTGTACCTGTTCCTGTATGGATACAGCTGAAAATGTAACTTCATCCGTGCAAGCTGCTGCACCAATGTCTTTAATCTCAATATGCGTCATAACAGCACTAGATACTTGTTTGACTATGCTTGGCTCAAATGCTTCAGACTCAGTCTTTACATTGACAGACTTATAGGCATCAAGTAAATGAGGTTTATCTGCTACTGTAGCTGTTGACATTTCTTGTTGTTGTTCTATGGCAAACAAGGCTTTCTCTTTCCTAGTGACGATACTTTCTGGTATGCTGGCTTCCAATACACGTCTTTCTTCAACTATAACAGCCTGAAAAGCTGTTTTAAGTTGAGCTTTAAGGTCAATGCTTTGTGGATAAACCCTTGGAAGAGACAAAGTTACTTCTTCAATGGAAAAATTACTTGTTGTGATCATATAGGTGCATAAGGTGTTCTTAGGTTCTTTGGTTACTTTAATGCTTTTAACATCTATGTTTTGTATGTTCTTCAGTATTTCTGCAGACAAAAGATCTGATTTATTTATCAAAGCAGAATACAAAGCTCTTCTAACATGACCTTTAATTTCCAAATGAAAACTTCTTAGATCTTCTGGGGTAATTAGTTGCTCTTTGTGAAGGATAGCTGTATCAAATACACCATGTGAGCTCAGAAGTTCTTTTGGTTGTTTTTTTACCTTTAACATTTCTGTTCCTGATTGTTCTGAAATGTTCAAATGTTCCTCTTGTATAGCTTGTGTTTCCTCTACAGCTAAGGGCAAACGTACTGACTGACCTTCCTGAATTCTTGATGCATAATCTTGTTGGGCTTCATCTGAAGGAATAACACTTTGTATTGGTATACCATGGTTCTCAATGCAGGTAATTTCTACAGGACGAGTTATTTCCGAGTAATTTGACAAGTATTTATGTCAATAGTTGGAACAAATTCAGCATGACCTTCAACAATAGCCCTACTTTCTCCTGTAGTACATAGCTTTTATA